CTAGCGCGCTAGAGGAGGTCATTCCGAAGCTGATTATCATGCACCCCATCCTTATTCGCCCACCCACGCTATCACGCCCTTTGCTTGATGCTCATGGCCTCAGGTTCTCATCTCCCGGTTCCGAGGAGCGGAGTCTTGATCCATTCTCGTCGGATGCTTGCCAAGCCAGGACTCCAGACAGTGGACGCTGGAGGGAACGCTGGACGGAACGCTGGACGGAGTAGTAGTAGCGTCCGGTGGAGACTTGGCCATGTGTGCGACTGCGACTACGTCGTAGTTCGTCTGATGCTGATGCTGAAGCGGGAGGAAAAGTGGCGGTTCGTATAGAGAAGAGACAGGCGGGAGAGGTTGAGGTATGTACCTACCTAAATAGTCAAATGGCATCCCGACCATGGAACATGAAGATCCCATCACGCTCAAATCCATCTGATGACCATCCATCACCATCCACCGAATGGAAATAAACCTCCTTCGACCAATCAGAAAATAGCCAGGAGTCTTTTTCCCCGGCTTGATCCGCGCCCTTTTTGGGATTGCCACCAGCACCAAATCATCTTTCTACACGAGCTCGCGGCGTGGCACAATGCATCCTAGCCCATGCGGGTTAGCACCGCTGGGAACCTATCATCCGACAGACGACCGTCAGTGTACTGTGTATGGCAATGCGCACCGTGCGTGGCCACCTCGCCGCCCGGCATGGACGGGCTCAGTGGGCGCTAAGTTCCCTTTTTTAGGGAGCGATATCTCACTCTGATCCGCTGTAAGTCAGAACTCGTCCATTACTCGAATAGGCCACCTGCGTGGAGCGTGCAGAACAGGCACCGTCTCCTGTGCCCTGCATGGATCCCGAATCCTGATTCCCGGATGGGAATGCCACTGACATCTCCATGTTTTCTTCACCCACGAAGCGATTTGAAATCCGGCTGCATTGGTGTATGATTATTTATTGATTGATTGATTAGTTAATGTATTTATCTCTCTCCTTTTTTGCGTCATCATTAATTCCCACCCCTCCCCGTTTCACTCCTCTGCTTCTCCCCCCTCTCCTTTCGAGCATCGCAATGATGCTTCTCGATCTTCGAGAATGTAAAAGATGGGCGGGCATCGGGGTGGTTTCTGGAGGGGCCCCCAATTTCGATTAATTACAATGATCTACTATACAGTACGGACTAGTACTAGTTGATACTAGCGGGGGAGGGACCGAACTCGTGTCCGCCGCTTTACTTACGTCGCCCCCCGTTCTGGCCGGCTTGGGCTTGGGTCGTCGAGTGGTCGACATTCTCGAGGGGCGATGATCCAGGCGACCCTGTCATTAATCGTTCTTCTGGTTGTGCGGCATTTCTCGGGGCCCGCGGTGTCAGGCCTCAGGACCGCGCCACCTTTTGCGTCTGCTGGTGACTGTGCCCTTTGATTCAAAGCTGCCTAAGCCCCTCTCTGGCCGAGAGGCTAGAGGCTGGATACTAGGGAGATACTAGTGACTGTGAGGACTAGTATCTATCTAGTAGTAGGCAGTAGGACTATCTGCTTGGACGATCCGTCCAGACAACCTCCGAGAACTCCGACCGTCCGACTGGCTGTCCCTTTGGCCAACCACTCCCCCGGCTGGCGCAGTCCCTTCGACCGCACAATCCTCGGGACGCGTTCATTTGCTGGCCCAGGTCTACGGTTCACCGTCATGGCGCTACTGGATGCATTGGAGGCTGGGCAATCACCCAGCGATTGTTTCTTTTGTGCGCACCCCTGGACCCCTCCTCTCTTAATCTAGCCGCGGACATGCGACATCGCCTATGGAGTCATGGACGGTGGACACTAAAGAACGTGGGGACTTTCACCTAGCTAGCCCTCTAACAGAAAAGCAGTGACTGATGCGGTGGGGAAACATTCCCGGCCCAGCAAAAGGCACGGACACTGACTGACTGCCTGAATCCTGGGACGGACCCAGACCGGTCGGGTCGGATTCGTTCCTCCCACCATTCGGATACGAAGCAGTACGTACACGTAGGACTTCCCTTCATTGGATGATCTGCCACGCAATGCCATCCCCTGGTTCTGCTTGGGATGCAGCGATGCAATTATCGACCATGGACAAGATTGCATAGGCACTATATGGTCATGGAGCATCCGCAATGGCTCCATCGCGGCTCTGGTTACGTACTATCATCTCGGGCCTGGGATGGTGGTTCGGGATACGAGAAGCCGTCGTCGCCTCCCATCAGTAAGGGATGGAAAACAAATGGATATGTATGTGTCCCCCTCCCCGTTCATTGTCGGGGAATTTGTGCACTACTATGGCGTATAGATGGGCGTGCCCACGTAGCAATAGCAGTCAGTGATTAGCAATTAGCTCGGGCTCTCAGGTCTGTCTGGAGTGCGCCATCGCCTGCAGCTTTCTCTGGGGTGGCTGATCATCGCGGTGGTGAAAGGAAGTTTATCACTTTTGTTACCAGTCACCACACCACGTCCCCAGCATATCCTCACTTGACCAACGGACTATGTATGCAGCAAGCATCTCAGCGGTGATGTTTGCCCCCCTGGCTCTTGCAGCTGCATGCAATATCCATATGTATGGATTTTGAATTCATTATCTCATATCAGGCAGGCGCGGCGTCCGATAGCAGCTGCCTATCCGGGCTTGGAGGCATCCTGGTCCCAGATCTCTTTCTCTTTCTCTCCTTCCCTTTCCTCCTCTTTCGCGCTCCGTCGAGTCAGTCAACTCGCCGCTATTCGGTCCTCTTTCATGATCTGGAACCCTCTAATTTACTCCGTACATACTAGTCGCCTATGACACTCAGGCTAAGAGAGCGTCATCAAATTCTGAACAGGGGGCGCGATGCTGGCCCACCGCCCCGGAGGAATACTGTCACCACTCACCAGTCACCGTCAGCGTCACCGTCACCACCGGCCTGTCAACGAGGGATACCTGACGATCTAGATCCCAGATCACGCTTGCTAATCGAGGAATTACCGCAATTCTCCAGTGTGATAGAACCCATTGTAAAAATAGCCTAATGGCTGTCTCCCCAGGCTCCAGCGTCCAGGGTCGAATTGAGTTTTGACAAGCACCCACCAGTGCGATCGTCTCTGCTCACTCACCTGGTCGGGATCTGTCATCGGTCCTTGCAACCGATCCGGAGGAACCACGATGACCATAACAACACCAATAATAACCACACCAAAGCACTTCTTTTACCCTTGCGCAACAGCACCCTGGAACCCATCTTAATTGGGGCATCCGAGGACAAAGACTTGCTCGCGTCCGTCGGCCCTTCCGAAGCATAGGATAGCTCAGATTCCAAGCCCCAGCAGCAGTCCCCATGGCTCTGGATCTACTGGGGATCTCCCGCGAAGGTTTTGGCGACGGTCCAATATAAGCTCTAGGAACGGTGCCCCCTGAATCCTGACAAAGTTACCGACAATTCCAGTCGATTCAACTCTAAACTTTAGAGTTGGCCATGGCATTATTGGTTCTCCCCTAGCTACTTAGCCTGCCCCTACTGTACTCCGTACTCCCTCTCACCATGATCGCCGGCGTGTGGGACGACATGTTAACCTTTTGTTCCGCTCACCTTCCTTTTTCTGCCCCCCTTCCTGCACCGGTCTCCACGGAGTTCGTATTTCCAGCGTGGCATAGGCACGGTATATGTCATGGAGGGTCCTTGACTCCTTGGCCTTTGGGAGGGAATGTTCCGCTGCTGCCTTATTCCCGATCTACCCCAGGGATCCCTGTTGGCCCTGGGAGCAAAGACTTCTGCACGGATGCCGACGGAACCTGACTGGCACCGTCCGGCGGTCCAGTGGATGTCCTTGAACCACGGCAGAGGAAAGGCGTACACTCGTCTTCCGACCATCAGTCTAGAATCTACTCCGTGAGTCCGTACATGTGAAGGTCCCTGGGAGGGTTGATTGCTGGGGAGGCAAAGTCCTCTGATTCCCGGCCGTAGTGGCGGGAGAGAGGCGGAAATCCGAGAGATGCGAGGCAGAGAGGTTGACCGGCGCACAGTCCTCTTGGGCATCTGGTGGTAATGCGGTCCGTCTACTCGTCACAGACCACCACGGTTACGCTGTCAGCGACTGGCCATGTTCTGAGGGGAGCTGACGAAACCAGTCGCCTTCCGTCTTGGGGACTGAGTGTCTATTGGGCTGGAAATAGGTACCCGGTGTGGCCGGCATGGATCGTTGACGACTGAAGGGCGGGTATATGATGGCGGTGATGATGATGATGATGATGACAGCCGAGGTCATCGACCGTTCCCCATGTGCGGCTTTTTTTATTTTTTTATTTTTATTTTTTCATGTTTATTTCGTTTTTCTCCTCTTATCTTTCTCTAACTTGGTCTGACTGAGTGGGAGGAGGTGTGCGTTGTCCCTACTCCGTAATCGCCCTGGATTCCTGTTCCCCCCAAATTTGCTCCCCACCCTAACGGATCCGGGTGACTGCGACGCTGGGATGGGGGATGGGGGAGCAAGTCAAGAACTCCCGAAGTCGCGACCTCCAGAGGGGGGCGCAGATGGGCCGCAGAGCTCGGACCGCGTTTGCCAGATTGGGAGGGTCACGAAATCCAGCCGGAGCAGGCCCAGCAGATGGGATTCCCGATTCGATGTGTAGCATGGATGCTGGAGACATGGCCTGCTGGGGCGTCCCAATCTCCGTCTCCAGACCCTCGGCTTGGGACCAATCCCAGCCGGGGCCGTCATGCAATAATCACCCGTCCTTTCTCTTCCCCCGAGATCTGAGCCCTGGGCGGCCGTTTGATTGAGTTGTTCTTTTCCCTTCGCTCGATTTATTAAAATTCTTTCCCTGCTGTCTGATCACCCGGATATCACAATTCCTAGCAACCATCGTAGCGCTGGATCACCCGCATGGATTCCTGAGATGGGATGGGGGCGGGACCACCGAGCCACTGTCGCCACGGACTTACTACTACGGCTACTAGATACGACTTCTACTCCTACCTAGAGTGTCTGGGTCGGGGATGTCTATAGCACCATGTCGGTGGTTGTTCGCTTATGAACTACGAGGAAAGTCTTAGGTAAGTGGCAGCTGCTCGATGACGATATGGGGAGGGGGAAGGTGATGGATGATTTAATGCAGAGCAGAGCAGGTGAGGCGGGTAGCAAGTCATTCAAGTCACCAAGTCACCAAGTCACCGCAGGCCGTGAGCGGACGGATGGGGAATAGGCCACCCACTTGGAGTTATCTCCATGTCCATGGGGCATGCCATGAACAGTGAGTGAGCACTTCCACTTCCCAGTGAGCTGGTCGATCGGCTGGCCCGAAAGGGACAAAGTGGGCTGGACGCGATCAATGACCGGTGCACATCACCTCGTCGTCAGGGGCCACGCTTTGGTTGGCTACCCGGGCCCCACCACTGCAGCCAACCCCTCAATCAGTCCGATGGGAGGCGCCAAGTGCGCGCGCATCATGGGATGCTATGGCAGAGGATACCATCGAGGAGCACGGAAAAGATACATAGTAGATGATGATGATGATGATGATGATGATGATGATGAAAGGGAGACGACGGAAGAGACCAATCCCCATTCAGACCCGACACTGGGCAAAAATGCGGAGATGGCAGCAGACCCGATTAGATTCCTCAACATCGCTGATGGGGAACGCGCTGCGCATTCCAGAGCTCCTCCAGTCAATGGTACTGTACCACCTGTGGATATCCCGACATTCATAGCGCTCCGCTCCATCGACGAAGCACCTGGAGAAGGTAGGGAGGGAGGGTCAAGTCGGATAGTAGTCTCCTCTGATGCCCGTCAATTTCCCGCCTCCTTTCCCTCCCCTCCCCCAAAACAGCAGACCGGCGGCTCAGTCGCTCCTTCCCAGACAGACAGACAGACAGACAGACAGACAGACAGACAGACAGACAGACAGACAGACAGACAGACAGTCAGTCAAGGACCGCACAGCCTCCCCCTCCTTCTGGCTTCTCCCAACCAAACAATCTTCCCGCGCTCATCTGTGGATTCACTGCATTAATATCCCCGATTAATTCATGGGCCTTCCCTCTCCTCCGTATGTTCCCCATCATGATGAGGAGGATGCTTTGAATGGGGAGAATGGACATCCCCAGCCAAGAAGCTCCACCTGGCTGCTGCCCATGGCCCATGGCATAGGAACGACGACTAGTGTTGAACTACTCCATACGATCTACCATGACTACTACTAGGTTAGACTCACTGGGTGGAAATGATACTGGCTGGCCGGCCGGCCGGCAGGCAGACGGACAGACGCCAGCTTTGCCTAGCTAGGATTGACTGAGCTCTTCCCTCGCGCGCGTTCTCATTTTACCCCGGCTTTGGCTGACATCCCTACGCCGGGCCTACTTACCTACATGGTACTTATAGAGTACGCTGCATACTTAATTGACCCTTCTTATCCCATTTCATTCCTATCGCCCATCCTATCTGACCTTTCTTACTTCCTTCCCTCTCTCCCCTTCCCTCGTTCCGACTCTACCCATCCCATGCCCCGGTTACTGCCAGTTCCCTCGCCCAGCGCTTGTCTCATCTTCGTTTTCGCCTCGAATCGGCGGTCCCCTAGTGATCCACTCTTCGGTCCCCTCTTCCCCCCTCCTTCATCATTTTGACTTTCCCCTCGACGGCTTTTTTGAACCTCGGGTTGTTACATTGTTGTTCCCCACCACCGACCTTTCCTTTATTGGTGTCGGAGTATCTGGTCATTCCTTCAATTCACGAGCCTCACGGATCTAGAGGCAGCAAAGCCATAGTCTGCGACAGAAACGGTACAACCCGGAGAGCGTGTGAAGGCCCAAATCAACGTCACTCCGCTGCCACGGCTAAAGGTTGGTACCTACTTAGTAGTTACCAGCAAACCGAACTGCCCCCCCCCCCAGCAAGTGAAACGGGGTACCTGCTTCTTTCCATCCCCGCCAGCTTGGGATCGCTCTCTTCACTCTCTTCAGTAGTAAGTTGGCCCTGGAATAGCTACATCACATTTCTGCCTTTGTACCCTTTCTGCCCTCCTCGGCCAGATTGGCCCTGTACACATCATCACTCCGTCGGGGTCGGTGATTCCTGGGTCCTTGTCCTTCCCCCGTGTTATTTAGCTCCCATGCCCACGGTATTCGGTCTTGTCTTGTGTCATACTGTTTCCCTTTCCATATGAGCCGGCCATAGTTCCCAACTTCCCAGTGGAGATTTGGTGGATTATGGAAACATGATTTTCCCTTTTTTTCTTTTTCCCTTTTTTTTTGGCTTAACAAAGATGTTCTGCTTCTATTTCCATTCATGTTGCCCCATTTCACTGCACTAGTCCATTCTTTCCACCATGTTGCCTCCCCGGGCGGCAGAAAGGCGAGACTGAGGGCTGCTCAGCCCTTTAGGGGGCCCCTTGGGCTTGGGCTTGGGGGAGGAATGGAAGATGGAGCCCGCCGATGGCCTGCCTCATGGCCGGAGAGATCCACCGGCGGCGGTGCTCTGGCGGGCTTGTCCTGCTCCTTGGGATCACTAGTCGCACCCACCCGCCCGTCTTTCCCATTTCCCATTTCCCAATTTCTGCCTCTGGCACTGCTCGGGCCTTCCAGTTCTGGGTCGCCCCGCCTGCAGGCCGGTCGCTCTTCATGACGGAGGGAATGACTGTCCGGTTGTCTTGTCTTGTCTTGTCCGTTTTTTTTTTTTTTTTTTTTTTTTTTTTTTTTTTTTTTTTTAGTGAATAAATTCCAACCGAGAGAGAAACTGATCGGCAAACAAAAGGAGGCTCTGCATGCTGAAGACGCATGGCTTTCTTTCAGGAAATTCTTTAACAGACATCTAATTTCGCCCCTGTTTGCCAAGTATTGTTTAGCGAGCAATGCCTTTCTTTTTTTTTTTTTTTTTTTTTTTTTTTTTTTTTTCCTTATTTTTTTCGCATCGCTGAGCATGCCCCGTCTGCCTGCCTGCGCCGTTTGGCGTTCCCTGCAACCCGCACCATGCCCGGCTCTGGCCTAGTTGGCCTGCCCTTCCGCCCATTCATCGCCTGCGATGTTTTCCTGGTTTTCTGATCACCAGGAAGGGGGGGGGGGGGGCCTTTTTTTTTTTTTTTTTTTTTTATTCCCTTCTCAAAAGAAAGAATTATGTTTTTCCATTTTCTTATTTTCCCTTTTTTAATTTTGGTCTCCCTCGTCTCCAAAATGTAATAAAAAAAATTACTAAGACATCTCCTTTCTTTGGGAAGGGCAACATGTCTATGGGCGAGGGAAAAAAACTCGATGTTGCTTTACAATACCTTACGGGGATAGGGAATTGGGATGATTTTCTGGCGTTATTTTCTGCGCAGCTCTTCTTCAGCATGATTATTTCCATTGGGATGGGACTGCATTTTTTTCCCTTTCTGTTTTTATTTCTATCTGCCTCTCTCCCCGTCCTGTTCCACGGATGTTCAAGGTCGACTATTGTCTCCTCTAACTCTCAAAGTTCCCTTTGCACCCCCCCCCCCTCTTCGTCCACCAGCACTATCTTCATTTGAAACATTCCTAATCTCTTGTTGTTCTGAACCCATCCATCGCATTTGGTCTCGCATGGCCCCGGTGGCTGTCGTGAAGCTCCAGAGTGGATAAATCGGCTTACATACCTGCTCCGAAACAGGTCCCGAACAGCGCATCCAGCAGCAGCGGAAGCTGAACTGGTCTCATTCGAACTTTGGCATCGACAGCTGAAGAACTCCCCGGACCAGGGTATTTAAACTCCCTGTCAAAACGGGTTTCTCCTTTCCAGCAGAAAGCTTGGGAATTCCCGCAACTTGGTTTGGTTGGAGAGTCAACCTACCTCGATCCGATCGCTATCCGTGGAACCGGAGCTCCAGTCGACCCAGCCAGCAGCACTAGGGCCAGACTGCTGCTCTCCAGTCTCCAGATCCCACCCTTTCTGCCTGTGCGAGGATTTGGGAAAGGACGGGCCCGTGCTCGCTGTCGATCCGGGTCGCCCAAGTCTGGTAGTAGCCCTTAAACTCAGAAGGAGGCGGGCACTTTAAACTTGCGCCATCGTCCCTTTTCTACGGTTCACCATCACCTCCAGCTCCCTCGACTTGTCATTCCCTCACCGTCGCGCCGGACGTTCCCACCCTCGTCTGCTCAAAAGGTTATTTGCCTCCCCCTCCCTGTTTTCTGGCGTCCGATTCACTCCTTTTCCTTCCCACACCCCCCTCCCCCCGTGTCAGTTTTTAGCTCGGGGAGTCATCCTCGTTTCAAACGAGCCCGATAACAAAGAAGCGTTCTGACCGTTTGTCAGGCGGAATTGTGTGATCTTTCTACTCTTGCTCCCCCTTTCCCCCCTGGCTGCTTGGTGTCGAAAAGCCAGTGACACCCTGGTCTACCGTCTAGCCGAGTTACGGGGAAACCTTGATCAACCCTGGCCGTAACTTTGATCGATTTTACCTCTCTGGCCCCTTTCAACTAGGTTCGAACCTACAAAAACCAAAACCAAACGCAAACAATGGTCAACGGCACCGCGACGGTGTTGGAGCCCACCTTCACGGGATATATCGCGACAACTCAGGATGCGCTGATTCTGTTCGAGGCCTGTCTGACAGGCGTCCTGCATCATGTGCCCCGTCGGCCGCACGATCGGGAACGCGGCCACCTGGTGCGCAGCGGCAGTGTGTTCATCTACGAGGAGAATTCGTCGGGCATCAAGCGATGGACGGACGGCGTGACGTGGAGTCCCAGCCGGATCCTGGGCAATTTCCTGGTCTACCGAGAGCTGGAGAAACCCTTCCCTCCCGGCGAAAAGAAGCGAGCGATGAAGAAGGCCAATCGACGCCCGGTGCCTTCGACAAGACTGGGGGAGCCGTATCCGCGACAGGAGAGCGACGGGCCCTATTCGCCGTCTTCGACCACGGCTCCCTACGGGGACCGGCCACACCAGTCGGACGTGGAGAGAGCTCTGGTCGGATCGCTCGTGGACTCATATGGTTTCAAAGATTCGGGGTTGGTCAAGAAGACGATGAGTGTGACGGTCTCGGGGGTGACCCACCACCTGGTGTCGTATTACAGCGTGGAGGATGTGATGCGGGGGCTGTTGAACCCACCGTCCATGGTCGACTCGCTGCGGTACATACGGCCTCGTGCGGAATTGACGCAGAAGCAGAGTTTCCGGGCCCCGATCGATGATTTGGAAACCGGCGGCTTGGAGAACCCGAATGATCTCCATGCGCTGTACGGCTACCGACCTCAGACGGTCGCCCCGCCGGGGTATGGCATCCCCAATCCTCACCCCGATTTCTACATGCATCCCACGTCATATACCGCCACTCATCCGCCGCAGTCGGCGCCCATCCCAGGCTACTCCATGGCCGGGTCGATCTCGGCGCAGCCGGCGTCGAATCCATATCTTCCGGCGCCCTCGGCCCCCACGCAGATTCCCCAGAAGCCGGACGACTACTCTCAGTTCCGCACTCCCACCCAGTATGGCACCAGCTTCGACCTGGGCCACCATCCGCTGTCGTCGTCCATCCCGTCCGTGCTCAGTACGGGCATCCCCAGCTCCTTGAGCGACCGCAACCGATCCCAGTCGGATCACAGTCCGTCCGCCTACCGGAACTCGTCCATATCCTCGCGCAGCGTTGCGACCGACGCGACCTCCCCGATCGATCCGGCGACGCCAGCCACCTATTCCCGGGGCGGCAGTTTCAGCCTGGACGCGCTCGACGGACCGCACCAGCCCCTGGAACAGCGCGGCATGGGGGCATTTGACCCGGGCATCCCTCGTCGGGAGTCGAACGCCATCCCCGCGCCGTATTACCCGGGGGCCGACCGGCACCCATACTACGTGAGTACGACAGCCCCGGCGGCGCACGCCAATTATCCGGTGTCGACGTGGACGACGGCGGCTCCGGCGCGGCCCCAGATCTGACCGGCGTCTGCCCTCACTCTTCCTTCGTTTCTTTTTCTTCCCCCCTCTCTTTCTTTTCTCCCGTACGGTTTTTTTATTTCGTTCTCCAGAAGGGCGGCAATTTGGGAATAGACTATGCATATACGCTGTGGATGATTACCCGGGTGGGAAAAACGCTCTTAGAGGAGACATGGGTGGTTTCCTGTTGCTGCTTCTTCTGTTACCCCTACGATGACATGATGCCGATCAAAATACCTTCTTTCTAGCCTTTTCTGTCGCGCAACGCTGCTGGTGATTACCCTTGGGGGGGGGGGGTTTCTGGGATTTGTGTTCCGTTGTCTGATTCACCCGTGAGGATTGGTTTGTTTTATGTGATTACGAGCAATGGGACGGTTTGGGAGGCATGGTCTGGGGCGGTTATCTGAGAACTTCATTGCGTATTCTTGCTCATTACTCGGCTTGCCGCGATCATATCCTTAGTGTTACATATGGGAGAAACCATGGGTTACTGGTGTACATGGAAACTTATTTGAATGGCCACTGGGTCGAGCACTTTGGGGTTAAAAGCTCCTTGCTTCGTTCATATTCCTTATTCTTATTCCTTTTTCCTTATTCGATACTCCATTCTGTGATTGTGGAGCGCGATGATATCATCACTGTAGTCTGGGGGTCTGATCTAGATACCATGATTCCAAATATCGTCTATCCCTCTAAGCGATAATGACGTGGTCTAGCTCATTTCCATCTTAGAATAGGTAGCGTATATACTACATCCTACATAATATTTCCTATTTGCATTTCATCTACACGGGAGACTTGAAAGAGATGAATGAATGAATGTCACCGTTACACTTGACAGTGGAGACAACGACGGTTCTAGACTCGATTCACCCAGCCAGGTACCATGCATAGATTCCTACGGACTCGATGGACTGACGAGAAGTGGCGTGAGTGGGTTACGATCGAGATCGAGATGGATCCGGTGGAGATAGAGATGGAGATAGAGTTGGGTGAATCTTAATTAAGCATGTACATGTACAGACTACGGAGTACACCTGGGATCGAGATCTAGGGTAGGGGGGGAAAAAGACAGGAGTTGTTGTGTATTTCCATGGACTTTCATCAAGTACTGCATTCGGTATATTCTTTACTTATGTTGAACTTATTTTTAACTATATGGTGTGAATCTGGTAGGTACCTAGGTTGGCACGAAAGTACTCCGTACTTCAAGTACTTAGTACTTATGTGAGGCCTACGGTAACTACTACTAGATGTGTACGGAGTATGGGGGATATAATACCATACAATACGATACAATACTGTATGGTATCGCCTTGGTAAGGGAATGGGATGGATAGAGTGCTGCTTCCTTTCTTTCCTTTCTTCCTTCTATTTCTTTTTTTTTTTTTTTATTTTTTTGTCTTTTCTCACATCATAAGGTATTATGGTTTGTGCTGGGAATGGAATAAGTGAGATAAATTGCTTGTTTCCTTTTTTCTAATTATACTATGTGTGTATGTGGGTGGGAACTTGGGGGGTGGGTGAGGGGGAGGTAGATGATTCGTAGCCGGTTTTCTTATTTTTGGTTGCGGAGTTGCTTGGGTTGTTTATGTTAACTGGTTGGAGATGGTTTTCTAGATGAATTTGGTTAGGTGTTTCATGTTGTTGGATTTCTGTTTCGGGGGAAGTTTATTCAAGTCTAGCAATATTGCTGGGATGGTAGGTACGCCGTATGATATAAATTGATGCCATGCCATGCTATGCTCCATCTGGGAAATGCTTCCGGGTATCATGCTCACCACTTGGGGGAAACTGAAATGCATAAAAGAAACACCGCAACTCCATGCAAATGATATGATCACCCCCTCGTGCTCCGTCGTCGATCTGCTGACTTGCTCGTCTGCCCGCCCCGAACACTCGTCAGCTCCGACGCCACCTGCGCGTGCTTGCCATTCTGCCCCTGCGCATTATCCAGCAGTAGTCGCATCGTAAAAGACCCCGGGTCGAATCCGGGGATAGCAGTAGGGATCGTCTGCTGGAATCCCGGCTTGCCTATCATGGCCGGGATCTTGGGAACCCCGCGCAAAGGTTCAATCATGGTCCAATCCCGCGTCACTTCGCGTCGGAGTTCGTTGTCGTCCACCGTTCCGCCGTCCGGGGAGATCTGGGATTGCTTAGCGAGGCAACATGGGTCCAGGGATATAGGCACCTACGCCAGAGGAGAACTTCCGGCCGGGCATATGCACATAATCATCAAAGGAACTTTCCAGGGCCGCAAAGTTGAACCCCTTCTCCGCCGTGAGGGGTTCGAAACGCTGGCCCACTTCCGTCCGGAAATCCACCGGCCGTCGACGCACGGGCTTATACCGCGGTAGGGCTAGCAGGGGCCCGGGGTAATTCGCCCACCAGCATTGGAGGATCGGGTCGATGTCCAGCGCGAACTGGATCCGGCTCTCGGCGCGCGGTTTCGAGACCAACAGGGCAAAGGTGAACTCGCGGGGCAGCCCCGATCGCTGCAGGCTATTCTCTTCCAGGGTCCACACGATTTCCCCGCCCTCGACGTCAAAATCCCGGCCCCGTGGGCTCTTGAGCGATCGCACAGACCCCTGGATGCGCATCATCTCGTACCGTTTGTAGCGCCCGTTCATGCCCCCGCTCGGCGAGAGATTGGCGACGAGAGGAAGGTCGGACACCCCGAGCGACCCGCTGAGACTGTAGTTCCACTGCAGGGTTTCGGGGGAGACGGCACCGTAGAGGAGGTGGGGGGCGTGCATGAGGAAGCGGGGGTTGCGGGTCCGGTTACTGGACGACGATTGTTCCCTCGTGCCGTGTACGGAGGCTCGAATGGTGGCGGCTTTGAAGCGATGCGCGAGCGTGTTGGGCGAATGGAAGACAAAGGTGATCCCGAGGAAGTCCACGTGGTTGTAGTCTTGGTTGGACACGGCCGGGCTGGAGTAGAACCCATGCTGGAGGCGCTGGACATGTGCGGTTATGTGGGCATCGCCCGGGAGGTGTCGCTCGTAGATGCAGGCGCCGTTCACGAGGAGACGGGGGTTGACGAGGTTGGGGTCCGGGGTGGTGGTTGGGTCGGAGGGCTGCTTGGTCCTTTCGGCAGGTTTAGGGAGAGTGGGAGCTGGGCCTGGAGCGGCCGGACGGTCGATCGTCACCATCGCCATGGTCGGGGACTTCATCGTGAAGGATGCTGCGTCTCGTCCGTCGCTATTATCCCGGATACCCATTGCGATGCTTGTGTCGGATCTCCATCAGAGGACGACGCGGAGCCCGGGGATTGCTATGCTAAGAGTGTCGATACACCCGGGGTAAGGGCCCCTGTAGAAGAGGTCATTTTAAGCCGATGGAGAGAACAGACGATGACGACAACAGAGGAGACGGATGGTCGAGGGGATATCAGGTGGAAGCGGCGGCGCGCGTCAGATGAGAGTCGCGATGGCCGCATGGGTCGTGGCTGCCAAGAAGGGCGGAATCAGTCGACGGCCATCGCTGGCCAAGGCGATTGTCAGGTGGATGAAGAACCGGTTCGCTCGACCGGAGGCTGATCTGAGTTGGGTTGATGGGGGAAGAAAGTGAAGAAGAAAGTTGAAAGGGGAACGAGCAGTTGAGGCTAAACCTTCTTCATCCCGCCCAGGCGGGGGATTCCTTCCTCCATGATTTCATCCCTCCGTTCATCCCCCGTTCTCTCTTCCTGCAAGGGGCATTCAAGGGGATCACGTTGCACCGCTATCAGCTGCTTCCTCGATCAGGAGATTCTCTTTCTGGTGTCTGATCTCGCTCTTCGACTTGGTGACCCTGCGTGTACTTGAACCACGCTGGATACGGACGGACTATCATCTCCGGATGGAGGCAGAAACGAGGGGCTACAGGTACATGACCGCGACTGGGTGATGATATGTGACTGACAAGTTTCTTCATGCTGAGCAGACACGCCGATAGAGCATCTTGACACAGTTCCCAGTCGGCTGTATCTGGTCCAACCGGTTGAGAAGCAGATCCTGCACTCATTGTCCACTGTGACCACCTACAGACACCTTGAAGACTGCCTCAGGATATACGCGACAGGGGTGTGTGGGTACGAACGATGGCAGTGAACATCGATGTATTGCAAGAAGTCTACGCAGAACGTTCATCTGTCTACAGCAACTGTCTGAGAGCCGTGATCAGTTCCACTCGATTGTTCAAGCAGCACACCGATACATCCAACAAGGAGCTGGGATAATGATAGCTGGCCAAATGAACTCGTGATGGACCGGTTCTCTAGTCTACGAACAGCAGTACGTTTGGACACAATCGAGTTCGCGTCTCGCATCCCAGAGGAATGACAACAAAGGATAACCGCGCATCGTCAAATGGGAGGTATAGAATCAGGCCCTCCTTGCGGCAGCTTTTGTTGTCTGCTTGACGGCCTGGGCCCAGCTCATCCAGCTCAGTGCATCTAAAGCCATCTGTTGGTATGATTCCTCAGAATTGATTTGACCACTTAATCTAATGTCTTGTATCTTAATATAGAAGTCCCTCCTGCAACCCAGTCACCCTGGAGCACACAGCCTGTGCATGGATAATCATGGATTAACAACCCGGATTTGGATTGGCTTGGACGGCAACGGATGTTGGTACAACAACGCTATTGTGGTCTTCATTCCTTGCGGGTGATTCGCCCGGTCCTCTCACCCGATATGCAACAAGCAGGGTCTTGTACGTCGGTGGATTAGCATCTGTGGAGACAATCTGAATCAGGAAGGAGACTGGTTCCACGAGCAGCCTATACGATTTGTCCAACACGTGGATCTTTCGGTGTTCCAGTACCTAGATATCAACCGCCAGGATTGAGCACATTTATTTCGATCAGCTGATGCGTATACGCTGGATGCGTCGATTCGAATATCGCAAACATATACTTGAAGCTACAAGGCCATGTGTCCTGGTGCAGAGGGAACAAGTTGTGTCACAAGTCACGGTATAGGCGCGGCCACGCAAGGCGTAAAGAGACCAGGTAACCTATTGGTAATTTGCTACCGGTGGACCAAGCTGGACCATAGTGGCTGGATTGGAATCGCAGTGGTGCGAGACAGCGGACCCTGGTCCATTTGGATCTTGCATGTCGTGCTAGTGCAAACTAGGCACTAGGCCCGGGCAACACGCATCGTCGCACCGCAATTTTGCGCCAGAGTCCAAGGTGCTGTCGGAAGCTAGGATGATTGAGTTCTCAGCAGCATTGAGGAGAAAAAGAAATGAGAGACCATCACGAGCCACCCTGTACTTGCGCAAGTATCTGAGCTGACCGACACACGCGCATACATCCGAGATTGCCGTAGCTTTGCTCGACTTACCAGCTGGATGCATATGCACCTGTCCAAGACTGGCGCTGTATGAACTTTCGTTCAATATGGTCGAGTTTGCGGGGTGTTGGGTTTGAGGTTTACCTCAACATTCAGGTCGCCGGTCCTGGTAAAGGCTTATAGAATTGCACGCAACACCCTGCAAGGTCCTAGTTGGAATGTCTGAATGGAATGACATTCAAGGCAGATTGTATGAGTTGAAGTTGGAGGATGTCCTATGGTGTCGTCCGCTACGGGGGGTCGAAAGGTCCGGAGGGAAGCTGGGAGCTTGGACGTGGAGGAGAACCGTGCGGCGAGAGCCCACGCAGGCCAGTGATGGCAAGCTTGCCATTGGTAGGATGCTTGAGGTCGTTGCCTGGCCCGGGTCGCCTAAAGTGGTTGGGCTGTTGCTGGTCGGTTCTAGACAAGGAGACAGGGACCGGGAGACCCCTCCGTCGGGGATGTTGTCGAGGTGGAGAGTCGAGACAGACCACAAAGAGGGGTTCCAGCTCAAGCGGTGTGGCAGAACTCCCAGGACGGAAATGGGAAAAAAGGCGAAACGAACAGAAGCGCGGATCCAAGGTCGACCAGAACGCATCCGATCTGACAGATCGCACCGGTCGGCATGTAGCAGTCTGGAGCAAGCCTGCCCAAGGGGATCCAGAGGCCAACCAGCGGACGAAGGCTAGAAGCACGCGGGAGGGGCAGCGCAGCAGCGGCTTATCGTGCTGGCTGCTGCAGGCGGCTCCGACAGGCGCGGTGCCGGCCTGCCTGAATCGCTGGTTGGGTTGGCTGGCAGGGAGCCCGCCGAGGACCTGACTCGGGTGCCGACGCCCATCCCGAGTGCCGAGAGAGAGAGAGAGAGAGAGAGACTAGAGAGACATCAGAATGAGGGCTGCGAGGGATCGACCCTCGACAACGGCGACATCGCAGGATTATTCAATATTATCATATCCAGCATGGATAGTATTGGATAATATTAATAATAGTATGTGCTGGGGTGGAAATCCATGGAAGCCTGCTTACCGATGGCTGCGACCGGTCCCCAGGACTGACGACGACCTCTCTACGTATGCATCCCAGGAAGGGGGTTATAGTACGGAGTAGATAGAGTCGATTTCCCAGTGACTGGAGCTGCTGAGAGCCTGATCGCGAGAAATCATCGTCCATACTGGAATACTGAGAGTGCCAGGATAAATCTGGGTAGCGGTGCTCGTGTCGAGCTAACCGGATTGCGGCAAGACGGGTTCCCCGTGGAATGGCGCAGGAAGATGATTTCCGGCCGGGTGTGACGGCGGTGGCCCAATCAGCGGGTGGACTGCAGACTGGGCATCCACTAAACACCGGCCGCTTATCTCCGGCCCACCGGTTGGCTGACTGGCTGACCTGGGATTGAGTGGATGACGGGCAGCCCTGGTCGTTTCGTCGTCGCTCCTTCCGCTTTGGAGAGCGATTCGGCTCCAGCCGACCCCTGGACCATGCCGTGACGGGCCAATCATCGGGGCTGAGAGTGACACCCGGCGGGCCTCATCTTGACTCATGCTGGGCAGACCCCACCGATTGCTGGGCAAATTCTGGCTTCCATGGCCTTCTCGCGGCGGACCGAATTGTCAGCACCCACTATCAAGCACTGGTCCACACCCTTTGCCTGGTGCAGCTTCCGTCTCGCGGCGCCCTCTGATTGACTGGTTAATTCCGTCGGCTGCTGGCTGAGACGGAGATGGACCCTGGCTCGTTTGCAATGCCCGTGTTTCTGGTTGAAGCCTGACAAATCCGCTCCAGTTTTGACTGCTAAAATTTCAGCTGGCCGGCGTTAGGCTTAATAACCCCGGCCCCAATCGCCTCCATCCAGTGAACCATGATGCAACGACCTTCATCACCGGCCTGTTTATTTAACCTCGCTCCCCCCAGCGTTGGCTTGGTCCCTCTCCTTCTGTTCTTCCTCCGTCGAACTGGATCGTACGGACCCTCTCCCCTCTTCCCCGGCGTGTGCTGGAGCTCCTGGAGCTCGTTAGTTCGGTGGTCGTCTTCTTGCCGTGCTACTTCTCTTATCTCTCGGCTGTATATATCGTTTTCGTTCTCTATACATACTTGTGGACATCCCTTGCGCTCCATTACTCGTGCGGTATCTCCTATTAATAGCTCTTGATCATCATCTGTGCCTCTCCTTTCGCCTTCCCCCCCCATATTCGGATTCATACCCTCAGCTCGCCGCTATTGAACCACCCCCGACAAATTGACCCGGCGCTCGCGTCCGACTTGCATATCCCCACTTCGGAATTGGTCATACAGAAGGAGGTGTCACATCTGCCATGGCGGACGAGCTCCATCGGCCGGATGCATTGCACAATGTACCGACCGTCACGCAGGGGCGCTCCGACCCCCAGGACAGCTCCCATGTCCTCGCGTCCGATCAAACCGTGACCTCCCAGTCCACCAGCGTGACCGACCTGTCGTCTGATGGTCGTTGGGGAGAACAGGAAGCCGAACCCGTCTCCCGCCGTGGCGCCATGGAGGATTTTGAGGATATGCGGAGGGAACTGACCCGGCTCAGTCTCCACCAAACCCGCTCCGCTAAAGACGTGCAGCGATTGCGCTCGCGAGCCAGCCAGGCCCGCGGCGAAGAGAAGACGCTGGACGACGATGGGCTGTCTGGGACCACCGAGAGCGCGTACGGTGGATTCGACCTGAGCGAGTTCTTGCTGGGTGGCCATCTCGAACGACGGACGACGGCGGGCGAACCCGCCAAGAAGGTGGGTGTCGTGTTCAAGAATGTCACCGTCAAAGGTGTCCAGACGGGCGCCTCCTTTGTCCGTACCCTCCCGGATGCCGTCATCGGGACCTTTGGGCCCGATCTCTACAGTCTGGTCTGCAAGTTTGTCCCCCAGCTCCACTTTGGCCGCAAGCCGCCCGTCCGAGACCTGCTTCATGACTTCACAGGCGCGGTCCGGGAAGGTGAGATGATGCTGGTGCTCGGAAGACCTGGTGCCGGCTGCTCGACCTTCCTGAAGACCATTGCGAATGATCGGACTGCCTTCGCCGGTGTGGAGGGTGAAATCAGCTACGGCGGCTTGTCCGCGGAGGAGCAACACAAACACTTCCGTGGAGAGGTCAACTACAACCAGGAAGACGACCAGCACTTCCCGAACCTCACCGTGTGGCAGACGCTCAAGTTCTCGCTCATCAACAAGACCAAGAAGCACGACGCGGCCAGTATCCCGATCATCATTGATGCCCTGTTGAAAATGTTCGGTATCTCCCACACCAAGAACACCGTGGTGGGTAACGAGTATGTCCGGGGTGTGTCCGGTGGTGAGCGAAAGCGGGTGAGTATCGCGGAGACGTTGGCCACCAAGTCCTCGGTCGTCTGCTGGGACAACTCCACCCGCGGTCTGGACGCCAGCACTGCCCTCGACTACGCCAAGTCCCTTCGCATCATGACCGATGTCAGCAAGCGGACCACTCTCGTCACTCTGTACCAAGCCGGTGAGAGTATCTATGAACTCATGGACAAGGTTCTGGTGATCGACGAAGGACGCATGCTGTACCAGGGACCGGCGGGCGAAGCTCGACAATACTTCCAGGACCTCGGGTTCTACTGCCCCGAACAGTCGACCACGGCGGATTTCCTGACGTCCTTGTGTGACCCGAACGCTCGTCAATTCCAGCCAGGCCGCGAGGCGTCGACCCCGAAGACCCCGGCGGAGCTCGAGTCGGTCTTCCGCCAGAGCAGCGCTTACCAGCGGATTCTCCACGATGTCTCCGGTTATGAGAAGCAGCTCCAGGATACCAACCAGGAGAGCACCCGTCGGTTCGAAAAGTCCGTCGCCCAGTCCAAGAGCAAAACTGTCTCCAAGAAGTCCCCCTACACGGTCTCCCTGGTTCGCCAAGTGGCGGCCTGTGTGCGTCGCGAGTTTTGGCTGCTCTGGGGCGACAAGACCTCCCTCTACACCAAGTATTTCATCATCCTGTCCAACGCTCTGATCGTCTCGTCCTTGTTCTACGGTGAATCGTTGAACACCAGCGGCGCCTTTTCGCGTGGCGGTGCGCTGTTCTTCTCGATTCTGTTCCTGGGTTGGTTGCAATTGACGGAACTGATGCCGGCCGTCAGTGGGCGTGGCATCGTCGCCCGTCACAAGGACTATGCCTTCTACCGGCCGTCGGCGGTTTCCATTGCGCGTGTGGTGGTGGACTTCCCGGCCATCTTCTGCATGGTCGTCCCCTTCACCATCATCGTCTATTTCATGGCCGGGCTCGACGTGGAGGCGTCCAAGTACTGGATCTACTTCCTCTTTGTGTATACGACCACGTTCTGCGTCACGTCCTTGTATCGCATGTTCGCGGCGCTCTCTCCCTCGATCGACGACGCTGTTCGATTCAGTGGTATCGCGCTTAACGTGTTGATCCTGTTCGTGGGCTACGTCATCCCCAAACAGTCCCTCATCGACGGTTCGATCTGGTTCGGTTGGCTCTTCTACGTGAACCCCCTGTCGTACAGTTATGAATCCGTCCTGAGCAACGAATTTGCCGGTCGTATGATGGAGTGTGCGTCTTCGATGCTGGTGCCTCAGGGGCCTGGCTTTGAGTCGAGATATCAGGGATGTGCTCTCACGGGCTCGGAGCTCGGGCAGACCGTCGTGTCGGGGACCAGCTATATCGAGACCTCCTACCAGTTCACCCGCCATCACCTCTGGCGCAACTTTGGTGTGGTCATTGCTTTCACCGTGCTCTACATCCTGGTGACCGTTTGGGCTTCGGAGTTTCTCTCTTTCGTCGGCGGTGGCGGCGGCGCGTTGGTGTTCAAGCGCTCCAAGCGGGCCAAGCAGCTCACGGCGCAGGCCGGCCAGGGAAGTGACGAGGAGAATGGCCCGAGCACCGGCGTGCAGGCACAGTCCAACAGCAACAGTGACACGTTCAACCGCATCTCCTCCAGTGATCGCGTCTTTACCTGGTCGAATGTGGAGTACACGGTGCCCTACGGCAACGGAACCAGGAAGCTTCTGAACGGCGTCAACGGCTATGCGAAACCCGGACTGATGATTGCCTTGATGGGTGCCTCCGGAGCGGGCAAGACGACCCTGCTGAACACCCTCGCCCAGCGCCAGAAGATGGGGGTGGTGACGGGTGATATGCTGGTCGATGGTCATCCGCTTAGCACCGACTTCCAACGCGGCACTGGTTTCTGCGAGCAGATGGATCTTCACGACAACACTGCGACGATTCGCGAGGCCCTTGAATTCTCCGCGCTCCTTCGTCAGGACAGGAACACCCCCCGGCAAGAGAAGCTCGACTACGTCAACCAGATCATCGACCTCCTGGAGCTCGAGGAGATCCAGGATGCCATCATCGGCTCCCTCAACGTCGAGCAGAAGAAGCGCGTCACCATCGGTGTCGAGCTGGCTGCCAAGCCCAGTCTGCTGCTCTTCCTCGACGAGCCTACCAGCGGTCTGGACAGCCAAGCCGCCTTCTCCATCGTCCGATTCCTGAAGAAGCTTTCCCAGGCCGGGCAGGCTATTGTGTGCACAATCCATCAGCCTTCGTCAATGCTGATTCAGCAGTTCGACATGATCCTGGCTCTGAACCCCGGTGGTAACACATTCTATTTCGGTCCGGTCGGTCCCGAAGGTCGCGATGTCATCAAATATTTCGCGGACCGTGGAGTGGTCTGCCCGCCGTCGAAGAACGTGGCCGAGTTTATTCTCGAGACCGCGGCTAAGGCGACGAAGAAAGACGGCAAGAGCTTCGACTGGAACGAAGAATGGCGGAACTCGGATCAGAACCGGAAAGTCTTGGAGGAGATCCAGACGATCCGGGAGGAACGCAGCAAGATCCCGATCAATGAACAGGCTGTGCAATATGAATTTGCCGCCCCGGCTACGACCCAGACGTATCTCCTCATGGTGCGGCTGTTCCGGCAGTACTGGAGAGATCCCTCGTACTACTATGGCAAGCTGTTCGTCAGTGTCATCATCGGAATCTTCAACGGGTTTACCTTCTGGATGCTCGGTAACTCGATTTCCAGCATGCAAGACCGCATGTTCTCCATCTTCTTGATTATTCTGCTCCCGCCCATCGTCCTGAACAGTCTGGTGCCCAAGTTCTACATTAACCGGGCCCTGTGGGAAGCCCGCGAGTACCCCAGTCGTATCTACGGATGGGTCGCCTTCTGCACGGCCAACATCGTCTGTGAGATCCCGATGGCGATCATCTCCGGCCTGATCTACTGGCTGCTGTGGTACTACCCGGCTGGCTTCCCCACAGACTCGAGCAATGCGGGATACGTCTTCCTCATGTCCATTCTCTTCTTCCTCTTCCAGGCCAGCTGGGGACAATGGATCTGCGCCTTTGCCCCGTCATTCACCGTCATCTCCAACACCCTTCCGTTCTTCTTCGTCATGACCGGCTTGTTCAACGGTGTCGTCCGTCCCTACTCGGCGTACCCCGTGTTCTGGAAGTACTGGATGTACTATGTCAACCCGGTCACCTGGTGGCTCCGCGGCGTTATTTCCAGCGTATTCCCCACCGTCGACATCGAGTGCGCTTCCACAGAAACCACCCACTTCAACCCGCCTTCCGGTCAAACCTGCAGCCAATACGCCGGCGACTGGGTCTCGAGTGTCGGCGTGGGCTATCTCTCCAACCCCAACGCCACCTCAGATTGCCAGTACTGCCCGTATGCCAATGGCCGGCAGTACATGCACACGCTCAATGTCCACGACGGCGACAAGTGGCGCTGCTTCGGTATCTTCCTGGCCTACGTCATCATTAACTGGTTCCTGGTCTACTTCATGATCTACTGTGTGCGCGTGCGCGGATGGTCCTTTGGCATGGGCTACATCTTTGGTGCCGTGGGTGCGGTGCTCGGTGGCATTAAGAAGCTGTTCTCCAGAGGCTCTAAGGCCCAGAACTGATTCTGTGGCTACTGTCTCCCACAAGCTCATCCATCTATTACCGATCTTTGTGCCATATACACCTGATCTCAGCAGAAAAAAGAAAGAAAGAATATAAACAGCTTCAAACTCGAGAAATCCGGCCAACAGGCCCTAATCTATGAGATTAATACACAATGAGGAGGGAATAGAGAAAAGTAAATCATTTTGGGTCTTTTTCATATCAATCTCGTTCAGATAGAGATGCATCAGCGTGTGTGTTGGGTTGGTTTTTACCTTTTTATTTTTTCCCCCTTTTTCTGTTCAACATCTATCTATTTTAGTATTTCTGGTTTTAGTTCTATAATAGATAAATAATGCATATTATCATAAAGAAGTTTCTTTCTCATGAAGTATTCAATTTCATTATCATATTCTTATCTTAGCTTAGCTTTGTCCTATCATATCCATTCGTATCATGATTATTTGCTTCCATCAACCAACTAATCAACAAATCATCCAAGTCCCTCCTTCCTCTTAATCAAGACCATACCAATCCATCATCTGAATCAAATCAAATTCGATCAGATCAAGTCTCCATAAAGAACCACGGTTTCCGGGCCCCTCCAAACCGAGCCCCAGGAACACTCATCGGAACCGGGATAGTATCCCCGAACGCAGCCGCAAGGTTAGCGCCGTCGTCATTCGATGCAGATGACGATGATGACTCGGACATCTTTTCTTTACCTTTGGCTGTGGCTTTGGCTGTTCCGGGTTTGTTGTGGGCATCGTCCTTATTCTCGACCCCGGGTTTTGGGCTAGAATTTTTGTTTTCGATGACGGGGACTAGGACACCGCACTCCCAGTTTCGACAGTTGAGTTTGAGGGCTTTAGTTGTGCGGTCTTGAACGAGACGGCCCCTTTTTGTCGTTAGTTCTATGACTCGGGTTGTTTGTGTGTGTGTGTGTGTGTGTGTGTCGAGGAAAGGGAGAGAGAGGGAGGTATGTAGCGAGTTTGTAGGAGGATAAGATGAGGGTAGGAATACGCACCAAGCACTTTCTGACAAATTGGCACTTCCGACATAAGCCCAAGCCCGACATTGTGTAGTGTCTGATAGAGAAATCGGTTCGTCGGGACGGACGTAGAGAATCTAGAATATCGTTGACGAGTTAGAATTTAAGTAAACCGGTCAGTTGTATAATTGGGGGTACCTTATTATGCATCAACAGATCGTGTCTCTGGCTTTCGCAGTCACGGAGCACATGGCGTGGGAACTTTTCGCTCTCGTACCACTTTTTCTGGAAGCAGACCGTGCCTGCGAAACGGGGACCGCCTTTCGATGAGTTTACAGTATCCCGAGAAGGAAAGTAGACTCGGAAACGGTCTTTCCATTCGGCGGCTGTGTCTTTCGCGATGATGGTGGACGGATCGTCGCGTCGCGGGGCAGGGAAGGTTTTCGTGGTTCGGAGGGTAAAATCGGTTAGGCCGTTGTCTCCTTTTATTATTTCGTCTCGGGTTAACTTTAGGTGGCTTAGGTTTAGGTTGTGGGTGGGTGCTTACCTTGAGAGGCCAGATATATAGTGCGGAGAAACTCGTCCGTGAGAGCGCCGACGGAAGAGGTCTGTGTGTCTGTGAGCAGGAAGGGCTATAAAGGAAGGTGTGCGTGCTTACGACAAAGTCGACATTGACCGGGTTGGACGTTCGGAGTCCTAGCCTCTCTATTGCACTGCCTAGGCCGGGGTAGCCCGTTCTTTTCCACCTGAGACCTGTATGTGTGCCACCGCTGGGGTTGTTAGACATCATCAGTGTGGTAAGCAATGGGGAGCTTACATGGTGTGGACGAATGCGTATTTAGCGGTCTTGGTGAAGTCGAAATTATCTAATTTGGCGATGACGTTTTCATGGAGATCGCTGGCCTCCAGGAAATAGACCAGCTCTTCGTAGAAACGTGTGTTTGGCTGTCTGTTCAAGAGCATATTCCTCCTCTTGGGAAGGTCAATCAGAAAGACGCTCTAGATATGTGTTAGTAGCAGCCCTGAGGGGAGTTGGCTGTTTTGAGAGTAGTACATTCTCCATCACTCCGCTCTTCTCGCCCCAGTCAAATGGAATTAGGTTGGCCGTTGGTATCGCGATGCGAAGATACTCAGGGTGAAAGAGTAACATCAACTTCGAGTGCATACAATTGACCTGGCCGTCCATAGGGGGAAAGCACAGGCGTAGATTGGGCATGTAAGTCGTTTCCGTTTCATACTGACGCTTCTTTCCTTGCTATTAGCGTTGGATACCACATATGATTTTTGAATCTGGGACACTGAAGGTTATGAGTGGAGATGCTCACCGTAGCATCATCCTTGGCCTGCATCATCAGAATAAATCGAGTACGTCCGATGTCCATCTTTGAAAAAAGCCAATCCATCTCCCACATGAAGGAACTCAGAACAGCAAGCTCTAGATCGGACTTCTGGAGGACTTCCCCAATTTTGATGTCATCGCCCTGTCGACCACTGCCGAGGGCCCATGTCTTTTTGACGACACCCTCTGGATACTGGATAGACGGGGCTGTGGATGGCGTCGAGCTAGAGCTTCTAGTCTGGGACGCCGCAGTCACATAACTAGGAGCTCCCTTTGGTCCAAAAACGGAAGGCTTGGGAGCTAGCTCGGTTTTCGATTGCTTAGTCGCCCGCTGGTCAATCGAGGTAGTGTCCTCAGCTTTTCTCTTTGCCAGTCGTGCGAGGCGCTCTTGCTCCATTCGTTTCCTGTCCAGGCCTAGGATACCCATAGGCCTGGCCGGTTCCTGGTCGCTAGCTTTATTCTCGACCTCTGTCACCGAGGGAGAGTCGGTGTCCTGACTCTGGCCCTCTTCTGACTCAGTGCTCTGTGAGGACTCCAAGGCACCATCCGAGCTTTGTGCGTCAGTATCTTGCATCGACAAAGCGATGGCTCTCCGAAAATCATCATCGTTATCTTCATCATACTCATCTTCTTCAGTGTCGGAGCCGATCACGGACCGCGACTTTGGAAAGACGGGTACAACATCGTCCGAGTCTGAGTCGGCGGTAAGGTCAACAAACTGAGTCTTCTGGGACCTGCTGGGTTGGTCGGCCTGGTAGCCCGCCTCGGCCAGAGAAGCGGCAATGGCTGCTCTAAGGTCTGCATCATGCAAATCGTTTGGGTCCATGTTAGCTATCTTAATAAACGTGAGAAGAAGGTTTGATGAAAAATGAGAGGATCAGAGAAAATCTGTTGAAAAAAGTCTCTTGAAAGAGGGGGATAGACTCTCAGCCGAAAGAGAGGCTTGGGTGGTTGTAGCCTCCGCCGGAGGCTGCCTTAATGGATGGACGCTGGGTTTATAAGACCGATAAAGTACTTAGCACAGCAGAACAAGCACAACGTTATCTTCAGCAAACTTGAACAAGTTCAATGACAGACAAAGAAGCAAGGCTGAGGTCTAGGAATGTCGAACGGATGGAAGATGTTGAAGAGTGCCAGAAGAGAAGTCGAGTGTTTGCAAGTCGCCCTGGGAGTCCGCCGCCAGCACGTGACCGGGCCAGCCTCAACCTCGAGGGCTTCCAGTAGAATCCCCACGACCCTGGATCTTGCAGAGGCTCAGAGAGTCGCGTCTGACTTATGGAGAGGCGGAAATGGACCACGGCACTAATGTTAAACCATGGAATTACCAGGGTTGTCCCTCTACAGCCGGAAGCATGTTGCTACGGCAGCCATTCACTCCCGATTGTTGTGCACAGATGACTGTGAATAGCTCTTTTGTTTCACGTCTTGTTTCATGTCTTATAGGTAATACATGCGAGCAGTTTGTTGTCAGTACGACCGGTTTGTTATTAGTACGGCTGCGTATCAAGGCTCCCATGACTAGCACAAAGCATCCCCTTCTGCACGCTCTTCATCTACCCAACATTCTGCGCACTGATCACGAATCTGAACCTCTCTCCAAACTCAACCCACTTGTCCATCAACGCGGAAAGATGACTGGTGTGGCTCCGACTGGGGAACCTCTTCATGGTCAAGAATCGACTGAGAGTTTCTTGAAAGACCATAATCGCCGTGACCCTAGCAATCTTGGGTGAGTGATGCACGTGTTCCCAATCTCGCATACATTTTGCTGACAGCATGACACGGCATGAAGGCCCGTCGTCGGTTTCGGCAAGCCGGTATGCGACACAGAAACACAGAGAAAGCTTGGACTCGAAGAAAACAGCAAGCAGCCGGGGTTCCATGATGTAGTCGCGAAAGAGGTATGCAAGGTGCTGAACAAAAGCCATTTCAGCAGAGAGCCGGCATCGAGCTGCTATCTTCACCGACTTCCATTGAACGTCCGAGTCAGGATATATGGGTTCCTGTTCCCCCACGACCGTACCGTCTTGGAGATAGAGAAGTTCTCCCAAAAAGAAACCACAAACCTGGCCATCCTCAGTACTTCACATCAAATCTACCACGAAGCCTCGATTGCCCTGTATCACTCGCTAGCGTACCGCCGGGTGGTGCTCAAGGAGTATGGCGCCTCCACCGCGTACCTCCTCAGACGTTTCCCGCGGGAACTGCGATGCTGTCGTTGGAAGTGGCTTGGGTCCGTTTGCTGTAATTATTTGCTCGACAAACAACGACCTTTTGGAACCATTGTACTTTCGCTTGGTGACAGGAACCATGAACTAGCCGTGCAACGTCGCTGGAGTTTCTCCGTTTTCATTACCACTTTGAGAATGGACAAGCCGCTGCGCGTTCATGATCTGACGATTGTCGCGACCGACAATTGGAAAATGCCTGGCTTCGCCGAGACGCATTTGATCCAGGACTTATTCAGCGGAGCATTCGAGATACTTGGGAGACTGATATTCAAAGGCTTCACCAAGATGGAGAGGAAGCGCCTCGTCAGGCTGATATTCGCGAAGAGAGACCCTCGTGTGCAAGTCATGCGACGTAGCGACGAGGTCGAGGTTCAAGTTCTGTAAGTGATATGGCCAGCATCTCCCTTTCTTGAACCGCCTCGCGACTCCTCAGAGACACTGGAGCACGAGATCGATGATGGCAAAGAAAACATCCCGATCAGCGTCGGCAGTTTCTAGGCCAAGACCCACGACGAGCATACGCTTCTCGTTGGGGGTTTTGGTGACAATAGCACTGGCGATTTGACGAGCATAAAGCTGACCAACTACCTCATGACCAGGGGCTCGACCACCGAGCAGTGACGTAGCAGTCAGATTACCAATTGGGAGTAGATTATCGTCTGCAGAATCCGAGAAAGTGTGAAAGCCCTCGGTCCCGGGATTTTTGTTTTCGAGTGGCACGTGCAGCTAAAGTAGGTTAGTTGCCTACCAGAGGATTATGATATGAAATGACTAACCCAATGTCCTAGTCGTCCTTTTTGTGAAATCGTTATTAGGATTCTGTCACTAAACTTGATGAGGGTAACATTTGTTTGGATCCCCTGGATGACCTCAGCAACCTGTTTTGTGACTGCGGGGAAGGGCAGGTTTAGAGGTTCCTGGAGTAGGTTGAGGTCGAATGGTTCACTCATGTTTTTTTCTGTGTTTTTGTGCTTTTCGGTTAAGACTCTAAACAGATACTCTAACAAAGATAATGAATCAAGTTCTTTCTTTCTTGAACCGGGCGAGTAACAAGGAGACTTGAACCGAGGAAGGAAATGTGAAGAGGGGAAGCCAAGAGTCGCGCAGTAGAAAGGCGGAGTGTTGCTGGTTGGGCCTGTGAACCGCGATCCGGGCGGTGAAGCTATCCTCACCGCTTTGAGGGCAGAATGTGGCCGCCGCCTGATTTTTTTCACGGATCCGGATCCAACCCTCACTTTTGCGTTGCGATTTGGTGACTTTTTGGACCTGGTTCACTTTGTCTCCTGGTAGAGGCAAAGAATCTAAGTCCGGCGACCATGCCCAAGTTTGTCCCCCGTCAACGGAAGCAGAAGCACAGGCAAAAGGAGGCAACCAATGCCCCGGTAGACACCAATGTTGCCGAACTTGCGCCCGTCTCCAAGAGTGAGAAGGATGCCAAACGGCAGCAGCTAAAAGAGGAATTGCGAGCACAGCACGCTCAGATTTCCTCGAAAAAGCAGAAGCGTTTGGATAAGTATATTGTGCGTGTGACTATATGTCAATATGATTTATCTAGATTATATTTCTAATGCCTCCGCAGGAAAACAAGCTAAAGAAAGAAGAGAATCTCGAACTTTTGAAGAAACTCGCTCAATCCAAGGTCGACACTTCAGCCCTCCAGAGCTCAAGAGAACTAGGAAAGCGCAAGAGGCAAGATGAGAGAGCGCCAGTATCTGCAGTCGCGGACCATGACTCCCGTCTGGATTCAGATCTATCAGACGACGACTCGGATGACTCGTTGCCTCCATCGAAAGCAATTTCCAGCGACTCTAAATTGGAAGCTCCTGTGCAAAAGCCTGTGGAGGATCCAGTGACTGGCAGCGGGCTGAAACGCCCCCTCGAACTGGGTCCGGATGGGTTCCCGGTTCTCAAGAAGCGAAAGCAGGTCGCAAAGAAACCAGAAATAACAATTACGATGCCAGAAGTGCCATGGGAGGGCTTCGGTTCCGAAGATGAAGGTCAAAGTGAAGATGATGATGAGGCTTCGGAGAAGACATCTGAGGACGGCTCAAGTGACGCTGAGAGCGGTAGTGACGAGGATGAAGAGGAAGACGACGACGAAGACGACGACGGTAGCGAGGAGGATGAAGATGAAGACGAGGAAGAGGATGAGGAGGAAGAGGAGAACCACAAAGTCGGCAAACCTCGACAATCCGCTTTCAAAACTTGGGCTCGCCAGCAGATCAATGATGCTGTTGGATTCAAGCCTGCCACCGTCCCAGTCGTCTCGGAGCCGATGCCATTCATCCCGGAACCCAAGAAGCCAGCAAGAAACACCGTCTATGAGGAGGAGCCATTGCCTCTGGAACTCCAGGTTACTAAAGGGGACCCCAACCGGAAAGCGTTTAGTGTCCAGGTTAACCGGTCAGAGGAAATACAAAACGCACGCTTAGGACTGCCAGTGGTTGGTGAAGAGCAGAAGATTATGGAAGCAATCCATAATAATTCTTCAATTGTGATCTGGGGTGCCACCGGTTCCGGAAAGACGACGCAACTCCCTCAGTTCCTCTTCGAAGCAGGTTATGGCAATCCGAACAGCCCCAATCCAGGCATGGTTGGAGTGACACAACCGCGCCGAGTTGCTGCAGTCAGTATGGCGAAACGTGTGGGCGACGAGCTGGGAGAATTTTCCGAGCAAGTGTCCTATCAAATCCGATTCGAGAGCACAGCATCCAGCAAGACCGCGATCAAGTTCATGACCGATGGTATTCTAATCCGCGAAATTGCCGAAGACTTTTCCCTCAGCAAGTATTCGGTTATCATAATCGACGAAGCTCACGAGCGAAGTGTCAACACCGATATCCTCATTGGAATGGTCAGTCGTATTGTTGACTTGCGAAAGGCCATGCGTGAGGAAGACCCATCTGTCAAGCCTCTGAAACTCGTGGTCATGTCGGCCACCCTACGCATCTCCGATTTCACGCAGAATCCCAATCTCTTCCGCCAAGGACCGCCACCTTTGGTTCAGGCAGAAGGCCGTCAATACCCTGTGACAGTGCACTTCTCCAGACGTACGCATCGCGATTATGTCGAAGAGGCGTTCCGCAAGGTGTCGAGAGGTCACCGCAAGCTGCCTCCGGGCGCCATGCTTGTGTTCCTGACCGGACAGAACGAGATCCGACAGCTTTCCAAGCGTTTGAAGCAGGCCTTCAAACCGACCCAGCGCGGCGAAGCTACCCAAGCCAAGGTCCAGATCTCTGCAAACGATGCCCCACTTGAGGCGGAGGATATGGAGATCGGCGGTGCAGATCTGTCCATTGCAGGCAACCAGGAGGATGACGAAAGTGATTTCGAAATCGCTGGCCTGGATGACGCTGAGGAAGACGAAGACGAGTTTGATTTGGGCGAAGAGGCCATGAGCTCATCCACCCGAGTCCATGTGCTGCCACTGTACTCTCAGCTCCCTACCAAGGAGCAGCTTCGGGTCTTTGAGCCCCCACCGGAAGGCTCACGGCTTATCGTCTTGGCCACTAACGTGGCTGAGACCAGTCTTACCATCCCCGGCATCAAGTACGTATTTGACTGCGGACGAGCCAAGGAGAAGCAGTACGATCTAGCCACGGGTGTCCAGAAATTCCAGATTGAGTGGATCAGCAAGGCCAGCGCCAACCAACGTGCTGGACGTGCTGGTAGAACTGGCCCTGGACATTGCTATCGCCTCTACTCGTCGGCGATCTACGAGAACGAATTCGCCGAATACACCGACCCGGAGATTCTGCGGACGCCCATTGAGGGTGTCGTACTTCAGATGAAGAGCATGGGGCTTCACAACGTTATCAATTTCCCGTTCCCGACACCCCCTAGCCGCCAGGGTCTCGCGAAGGCCGAAAAGCTTCTCAAGAACCTGGGTGCACTCACCGCGGAAGGCAAGATCACGTCAATCGGTAACCGCCTGTCGACGTATCCGCTGTCTCCACGGTTTGGCAAGATGCTGTATGTTGGACACCAGCATGGCTGCATGCCGTATATTATCGCGCTCGTTTCGGCTCTTGCGGTGGGCGATTTGTTTGTTCCTCAGAATCAGATTGATCCTGTGCCCGCCAAGGATGGCGATGAGGGTAAAGGCGTCTACACGAACTCGGACCGACTTGAGGACACAGCCCGGGAGCAGCGCCACAAGGACTACGCGCGGGCCCATCGCCTCTTCGGCAAGCACGATGACACGTCAGACGCGTTGAAGTACCTGTCGGCGATCTGCGCATATGGTTATGCTTCTGACGGGGATTCGTTCTGCGAGCAGATGTTCCTGCGCGCGAAAGCCTTCAAGGAAGCCACACAGCTTCGTCGCCAGCTGACAGACATCGTGCGAAGCAACAACCCGGGTCTGGTCCAAGCGTATCAGGCACGCTTGCCCGAACCGTCCGAGAAGCAGGTCAAGGCGATCAAGCAGATTGTCACCGCCGGTTTCATCGACAATGTTGCCATCCGCGCCGACCTTGCCCCGGTTCCCCCTGAGATGCATCGTACCCCCAAGCGAGCGATCGACGTGCCGTACTTTACGCTCATGCGATCTCGCGAAGGACCAGGCATGGAGCTTGACGACAAGGCTGTGTATGTGCACCCGTCGTCTATCATTGCGCAGCTGTCGGCCAAGGAGATGCCCCAATATATTGTGTACTCCCATCTCCAACAATCGTCGCCTTCCGTCGTGTCGGCCGATCAGACCCCCAAGATCCGCATGTATCCGCTTGCGGCGCCCAGCGGACTGCAGCTATCTGCTCTCGCGCACGGGACGCCTCTAATTGAGTACGGCAAGCCGATTGGCAAGACGGAATTGATCGAGGGCATTCCCGAACGGCGATCATGCTGGGTCATCCCGTCCTTGGTGGGCGAGGCTGGCGGATCGCGGTGGCCGTTGCCAGCCAAGAAGGTGATCCAACGAAAGGATGCCAAGGAGGGCTGGGTGATTGAAAAGTTTACCGCCTAATGTATATAATGGATGCCATAAAAGCGATGATATATACCACGAGCAAATTTGTATGCCAGTCTGCGGGATCCTTTAACCTTGTATGCATCATTCCCCAATCACACCCATGCAATGAATCAACCCCAAGCAACTCCAAACACCTGGCACAGATAATAAAATAAGTCGGAACTAAGAATAACCCCCAATCAACCCACCAACCCAACCGAAACCCAAACACAGCACAGAATGATCTATTCATTCATTTCCTCGCAATCTCCCCCGTCTCCCTATCCTCCCTAATCCCCAACGCCCTCCTCAACCGCTCACTCTCCTCAATCTTCGCCTCCGCCAACTCATGCACCTGATAACTCTTAAACTGACGTCTCTCCTTCGGCGGCAAATCCCTCCCCCAGGCGCCCCCCCCGCGACGTCTCCCCTCCCCATTCCCACCACCACCACCATTCTTCCCCGCTTTCTCCCTCCGCGCCTCCTCCTCCTCCATCTCCTTCACCAACCTCTTCCTCAAAACCTCACACCGCTCCTCAATCTCCTCCTCCGTCAACACCCTCTCCTCTTCCCCTTCCCCTTCCTCCTCATCCTCCCCCTTCCCCAATTTCTTCTTCCTCTCCTTAATCCGTTCCTCAACCTCCTCATTCCCCTCCTCCAATCTCTCCCTCTCCTCCATAACCTTCACCTCAATCGCGCGTCGCCGATCATGTTCCAAAATCTGCTTATCGGGCTGTCGTTGCTTGAACGGTCTCTCCATCGCATTGTTCGCCCCTGATACCGGCGGGTAGGGAGCCCCGTACCCCGTGTTGCGCGGCTTCATGAATGCGTAGTTCCGTTGCACGTATCCGGATGTACCGCTGCCTCGGGGCGTGGAGAGGCCGACGTTGGAGGACATGGTTCACGAGTTTTGTTTGTGGGGTTGGTTGGGGGTGTGAGGTAGGTGGGTGGGTGGGTGAGTGTGTAGAGGGTAGTGGTCGGGTTGTAAGTGGTGGTGGGTATTGTTGTTGTGGTATGGCTGGTGGTGGAATTAACGCTGCACCGAGAAGGATAGTGGTGAGGTCTGGATCGTGGCGGGTCGCATCAACGATGGAGGATTTGCAGCTTGGTCCGACCGCCTAGGCATGTCATCACGTGATGATATCGAGCTGCGTTGATAAGGCGGCACTTGATGACGATATTGATAAGAGGTGTATGGATCTACAGTGAGGGACTATCGACCGATTATACTGAGTTTATTTGGCGGGCAGGTGGTGAGATGTGCAGCTTCTGATACTCTGCTATAATTCCTGATCGGAGTCTCTCATGACTTCGATGCCTTTCGCATCAGGTTTGTTCCGGGAATAGAATACAGGTAGAATCGCCGATGAAGGGCAGCTACAACATCCATGTGAGCAATCGCGTTCATTGTCTGTATACCGAGACAGCAAGGCCTCTACATGCTCTAGGCATCCCTTATATTCTCCCTATTTCCAGGTCTCCCATATGTCCATTCCAAGGTCCCTTTTGTAACCCATCGAGGAAAATCAAGCGCGATGTCCCATGAACCCGTATTCACCAATCAAGACGCCGGCCCCTCGCGTGGACAGAGAGAAACAGAAACATTGATAACTATGGAGGCGTGTCCTCGTTTTCATCACGTCGAACGTCAGACGAACAGCAGAAGGGGAATACATCCACAAGCAATTAAAGGGGTAAAGGAAAGAAATTTCAAGAAGCGAAAAGGGGGCATGGGGAAAAGCAAACACAAACTGGAAGAGCAAATGACATCAGTTTCCGCCGTCACCCTCGTGGTTGCGCCGTCAAGCCATGAATTGGGACCAGGAGTCAAGCTCCCACAAGCCCACAGTATGTATAGCCCAAATTAAGAATAAGTTGGGAAAGTCGGAACATCAGAAATAAAGATATGTTGCAGGAGAAAGCAATAATGTAATTCAAGTCGTCATAGCCTATGTGGCACCAGTGGCCTCAACGGAGCCGCTTGTCACTGGGCTGATCGATTCGCATTCCGCCAGTGGGGTCACTGTACTTTTCGCAATGTGCTTGGATTCCGTAGACCCATCGGTATTGCTCTGAGTATCGGTAGGAGGCGGCGTCGGGGGTGCCGCCCCGACCACAGGGGCCCGGCAGTTCTCGACCCCGTTCACCGCGCGCTTCGAAGGTTGAGGAGAGGATTTGTGCGAGTTCGGCGGCGTCGTCGATGTCGCCGTGTGGGGGAGAGGGCCCCCCGCAGGTGGAATGACGCCTCCAATCAACTTCTCGATCGCCACGATCTGCTTGCCATAACTGTACTTTTTCAATTGGTCAAGCATCGGCTGGATGCGCGCGGCAAGAGCGTACTTCTCCTCGGACGAGTCGTCCAGCTGTCCGAGAACTTTCTCTGCAGGGGACGTTAGCAAGCCATGATCCGAACGCCATGGTGGATCGCAACTTACGGATGACATAGTTGCCGTACTGATCGCGCATCAGGCCAATCAGAGGGCTCTCCCCCCGATCATTGACGCTCGTCAGCATGCTGATCATCTGCCGGCGTTGAGACTCCTCGCCATACTCAATGCTCTTCTCCACCACGTTGCTGGCAAACTTGTGCTTCGAGTAGGTGAGGAGTTGCGACATGACGATCACGATCATCCGCGACCGGTCCTTCTCTTCCCCGTTTTCGATCACATGCTGGATCACGTAGTTTCCAAACTGGTCGGTGATCAACTTGGAAGTGCAGGCGTGCAGTTCACCCAGGATGGACTCTCGGTCCACTTCCTGGCAGTGTTCGAGCATGCGTTGTATGACCCTACACCCGTAAGGGTGTGTGGCAAGTCGTTCCACTTGTCCTTTAAAAGCACTGATGATGAACTGCACATACTCCGAGGGCACCCTCTCAATGGCTTTCTGAATGACGTGATTGCCATTCTGGTCCCGGACACAGCGGATAACATTAGTCTCCAGCTCTTTGACCATCGATGCTTGCTGGTCGGTGAGAATATGCTCCAAGGCCTGCTCATATTAGCATCCAATGCATGTGAGATTCCGTTGGGACCCTACCTTTTGCACTACCCGACACCCGTACATTTGGGTAGAAAGGGACAAGATATGTCCCTTCATCTGGTTTGCCAGAATCTTCTTCTGCGTTTGATTGCCGTGCTCAAAGAGCTTCTGAACGACGTAGTTGCCGAAAACATCGGTCATCAGTTGTAGGCTATTAGACTGGATCTCGTGGAACACCTGTTCCTTCTCATCGCTATTGGCCGTTTCGAGCTTCTGCTGGATGAAGCGGGAGCCGTGCTGGTCGCCACTGAACTCCACAATGTGACCATAAATATCCTGCGTTACGTCAGCATCATAATCCAGGGAGGCAGACTAGTCTCGCTTACCTTCAGCTCATAACGCTTGTTTCCTTTGTTCTGAGCCCGGAACTCTTCCAGGACCGGGCTTCGCACCACTTGGGAAGAGTCATTGTCACGGTGGCTTCGGGGGACCAGATTCGCTCCGCCAAGATGTGCCACAGGATTATAGAAGGAAGACAGAGCGTTTAGTCGCTGCGCTTGATATCCGGCGAGATCGTATCCCGAGGGAAATGCGACTCTTTGGAGTGTATTGGCCGATTGTTGCGAAAGCTCCTGCTCGGCACGGAAATTCTGTGATAGGAGTGCGGCCGTGCTGCCCGCTGCTTGACTTGCAGAACCACTCCGGAAATGTGCCACGTTTTCTTGGCCATAGAAAGGGCTGTCCATGCGGTAATCCGTGGGTGATAACGGGTTTGCATCTGGAACCCGGGACCTGCTTGACTGGTATCCTAGTTGCAAATCCTGCGGCACGCCTTCGGGCACGTATGAGGGACCAAGCTGGTACTCGCTCTCGTCACCGCTGTTTTGATATTTGAGGCGTGCAAGACTGGCATCGTATGATTTATGCGGAATATATGCTGGACGGTTCAGAGCAGGACGCGCGGGAAAGTTGCCCTCGTGGAGCTGCAAGTTGTTCAGACCACCGTTGAGGTCCACGGACCCGCTACCAGACCGGCCCTCGTAGCCCTGGGTTTCTGAATGGAACGATGGGAAAGTAGCGTGCGATGGTCTCTGTGGTGCGAAAGAAGCAGAACTGTGTGCGGAGTGGGAATACGAGTTACGCCCAATATGCTGTGTCATGTATTCCGGAAGCGCCGACTGCCGGGTTGACCTGCCCATCGATGTAGTCACCTCGTCGACTCTTTGATTGTCCAGCGGGCTGGTGAACCCCGATTTCATCGGAAACGCAGAGCCCACGGGACTACCCCCAAATGCCGACGGGTTGACTTGTCGTCTGGTTTCCCCGTTTCTCACCGTGCCGAAATTGCCTAGATTAATTCCGTCTCCCGACGGTGAGATGCCGTCAGACCCAGTGCTGAGGTAAGTCTTGTGCCCGGCACCCCCGCTCGAGCCCCCAATTCCCGACGACTTGGGCATGGCAAAGTATGAAGTTGTGTCGGTGGCTTCGGGAAGACCAGCCGCGCTGCGGTCATTGGGACGTGTTTGTACGGGAGAAGTCGTCATGCCCCCATTTGATGCTCGGGATAAGGAAGAGTTAGATGTGTTGACCGTTTGCCAAGGGAGATTGGGGCGGCTGCTCCATCCATCTGATTCAGAAGATGACAGCAAAGAGCTCGATCCGGCCTTACCCTCGAAGGCAATTTCTGCGGTGTGCTGATCTAAATATCCAGGTCAGTTGAACCACTTGAAACGCAGTCAAACACCCAGCTAGCTGCGTACCTTCGTAACCGCTCGCCCAGATACCGGAGTTCCACCCTGAATTACCACCACCGAAGCCTTTTCCCATGCTCGCGTGAGCGCCCCGTGTTCTGTCGCTGTTCAATCCCGATGAACCCATATTGGCCGCCCGGTTTGATCGAACCTGTGCCACAGTCAACCAGCTAGTCCACTTCACAATAGTCCAGCTGCCACCTACATTATGAACTGCACTTGGGTTCGAGGCCATATTGATCATTCGCCGGGTGTAGACCGTAAAATCGAGGCTCAAAGTATGGATAGTCGTCGGTCGCCGACTTCGAGGCCGGTGTTTGTCTTCGGATCCCCTTCGCCTTTGTCCTCGGTGTTCCAGGTGACAATGTAGATGCTGAAGCGATACGGCTAATTATATGAGCGGTAAGAGATGACCGAAGCACAAGCCCACTAGTGAATACCAAACTGAAAGAGTCAGCCATATGATCAGCTTAGACCAACCACCGAGAGTAGGTCAACAGAGAACGTCAAAAAGAGGATTGACTCACAAGAGAGCGAGGATACGAAACACGAAAGGACAGGGATGAGACGGAGATAGGGCGGCGCGAAGATGTCGCTGAAAGATAGGAATAGGTTATTTGTCTAGAATAGACGCGGCCAAGCGCTGTACAAATTATACAGGGATTGAAGGGGGAGAACAGGCGAGAAATGCTGGGCGGCAGGAGGTAGGGCCGTCAACAACGCAAGGTGACAAGAGCTCGATAAAAGCGCTTGAGGGTTTCCGCCTACAGCTCAGCAAGTAGCCGTAGATCAAATCGCCAGAACGTATTGCGACGTGACTATGCTCCGTGCATGCTCCAGGAAGTTCGAATCTCGCAGATCGCCCTCATGTGCCCTCTAGCGAGGAGGGATAGTCGACACGGGGTCCGTTTAATCAGACAGACGTTAGGAGCTCGGATGATTCGTAGCGGCAAGGGGGGAGGGACGAAGGGTTGGAGAGACTGCAGCTGGTATGGACGGAGAATGTGCTTGTTGCGCAAAAAGGACGTGATTAGTGGAGTGTCGAACGATGGGAATGTGGACGAGAGACAAAGCCCGGCATTAATGTAATTCGGTTGTGACACAGACAAGAGCAAGCATGACACCCGAAGTGGTTCCGAGCAGATCAGTCAAGTCTTTTTAACGCCAGTCCGGTTCGACCTCCACTGCTGCGTTGAAGATGGCAAACTTGGGGGAGGGGAGGGGAAGAGATAATAAATGACCGAAATCAGAAGACGTACGGATGACAAAGAGATGGGGAAAATAAAATGAAATGGAAATGGAAAAATCAAAAAAGGTTTGTTGAGAGCGAAGGTCAAAATAAAGCAGGGAAAGGGAAAAGGTTATTTAATAAAAAAAAAAAAAAAAAAAAAAAAAAAAAAATTTAAAAAAAAAAAAAAAAAAAAAAAAAAAAAAAAAAAGGGTCTGGTTAACGCGAGAACAGACAAAAGTTGGTAGCACAAACGAAGCACCCCAAAAGACTTCCAGAGGGAGAGAAAGAGGATTTGAGAGGACAGGGAGAAAGCAGAAGAGGCGGCGACAAAAAGGACGAACGAGTCCAGATGAAGGCGCCAGGGGAAAACTTGCAGGATCAAGAAAGGAAGAAAAAGAAATCACCAGTCGGGACCTCTGGCAGGGCGCAGAAGGATTGAGTGAGGATGGAGATGATAGATAAGCTGGGCGCTGGGACTGCTCCTACTGACTGGACTGGTCGAGCTGGAAAAAAGATGCTGCGTGTCTTGCGGCAAACGACTTGACGGACTGAACGACTGAACTGGACTGATTCTTTGGCGCCCATCGGTATCGTTACCGCCGGTGACAATACCAGACGATCTGTCGATCGGCTCAGGTACTTGGCGACCGTATGGGCGCTGCGGCGGGTGGGCAGGTACCGGGGCGCCTGCCCACCAGTCCCGGCTGATACGCGCTGGATCTGGGGCCGCCCAAATTCGCTCCCGCCGCTTCTTTTTTAGGCTTCAATCTAGGCGCCCCCCCCCCTCCTCCTCCTCCTCCTCCTCCTCCTCTTAGCCCCGAGGCTGCCCTTAGGCTCCCCTCCAGGCGATCGCAGCGCTGTCATGAACTTGAAGGCTCCATTTCATATCCAGCTGGCCTGCCCATCGGTTCCTGTTCCTGATGCTTCCGAATCCCCTCCACCTTCTTTCTTTCTACTTTGGGAACCCAAGGTTTCACGAACCACGTCGGAGACATCCAACCCACGGCATGCACAAGGGTTGACCGCTACATACTACGAGAACAAGTAGAAAGTCTCCCTCGCCGTTGCGTAATGATTTGATCTCAGTGGGATCAGTTTCTGATCGCCCGTCATAAGCACGATCATGAAATACTACGTCCGTCAGGGTTCCCGTGGCCTGGAGTTTCTCTGGAACGCCCGAGAAGCTGTCATGGCCACTTCCACCACTCGGACACGACTTCCCAGCCAACACCGGCGAGTGACTCGGCCATTATTTGCCACTGCTCACGGACTAGTCAACAAATGATGCCAACGATCCGGAGCGGGGTCTTGGAAGATCGCTCCTCTTTCCATTGCGCTGTCGTCTGCCCTGGAGTAATAACGGCGGCGGCTATGATGAAGATTTGCGGTAAAGGTTAAGTTACGCTCCAGCCCGACCGATCGGATCCACTAGACTAGCCTGATTTTTCGCTGATGAATCAGAGTTTATTCTCAGCCAACAATAATGGTTTGATGAGCTCCTCATGATATCCAACGCTATTATTCACTAATTTATCCCTGTGTAGGGGCGAAGCGGCAATTGATGGAATCGACCACCAACTAAAGCAACCTTGTACCAAGCTCGTATTAGGGGACTTGCGCTTCCGCGCATCATTCGGGGCTCATTTATATATACACGCACCCGCGGTACGGAAGGGGACAGAGCAAAACACTTACGACGCCCCCAATTTTTTGACCAACGTGTTGCATCATGACAACATCGTCGTGCGGTAATGGCACTGAAATTTACCTACAGGCGTGAATCGTTTTCCATAGGCTACCTGTTCTTCCCGAATTTCGCTCGATATTACACCTTATGCGCTATCCCTTCCATGATGCATACCTAGCCTTACGACCACAATTGCTACGACTGGACAGGGATACTACGTAATGTCGGGGAAACAGTAACCCTTACGATATCCCTATTTGAACTATGTTTCTGACTGGGTAATCCATCCAGCACATCTAACTGTTCCCCTCTCGCTATGCCGGTTTGGACTAGAAGCACGCATGGCGAACAGCTTAGCTCGACGGCCTCCGAATGTCCCTTGCATCCGCGCAGTACACAGTAACGGTGATTTAGGTTTCATCCGCCCTGTCTTTATGACGGCCGCGGAAGGAAGGGGTTGTTTCCTGGAGTTCACCTTGCTCTATCACGGATTGCCCATTGGGGAGTTCATGGTATGCATGCATATATGTAGTGTAGCACTCCTCTGTACAAACGCCTTATCATGGAGGAAGAAGTATCTGATTTGCTGAGCGACATGCCCAGATCACTACGATAGGATGAGAACAGCCGAGCGAGCAATTGCAACAATGGCAGAAGCCATTCACAGCAAAGGCAAATTTGCCTTACCTCCCCACTATCTAGGTTGTTGTCGCCAGGGTGTACCGGGTCTGAGGTCACAGCAAATAGGCCGAGGGAGATACATAATGAACGACGAAAGGCTTAAATCATGGCAAGTTCCGGTCGTGAACCAACTCGAGCGGGAATCATTTCCAACCATTCCGGGAGTTCCCCTTTCTTGCTCAGCAATCCACAGGATTGTAGATCCATGCCATGACCAAACATGTTGTGGGCCTGGACTTGGACGCACATATCATGACTAGCACGACATGTTCGTGATAGCGAATTCGTGATAACAAACTCATCCTCCCTCCGCAGGGAGTGTTTACCCTGTTTCCCTGTTTCTAGGCGCTTGGAGGTAGTACTTACGGCAACCCAGTGTCCATGGATACAACCATCCATGATCCCACTGATGACAGCACCCGATCATCATCATGCCATTGTCAAAGCCACGCGTGCCTTCATCCCCTCACTTGAATGGATGCCCCAAATTCATCCCATACTTTTTCTTTTCCCTGGTACGGGTGCTAGGCGTAGCCACCCGTACACCACTAGCGGAGTCGCCAGCCTGCTGTCATGTTTATTGTGACTCATATCCAGGGCCGCTTTATCCGCTCGACGTATGTCCCACTGGGAATGGCAAGGTTTATAGCGTGTCTGGTCAACCATGAATCCCGTCCCCAACGTGCTACCACCTCATGATGCTGGTCCGTCATACTCCCAGCTACGTGTGGGCTTTATTCCACCACGTCAGGCTGAGACATGTCTCGGTTGTTCCTCTCAGAACTCTATTGTTCTGTTCCCTTGCATGACGTGCAGGTCCGTGGCGGCCTTTGATTTCAGGCTACAAGAATACACGGCATTATTTTGGGGCTGCCAACTCTGGTGTCAAAGTATTACGACACTCTCAGTGGACGCATCTTTGAATACTAAACTGAACATTTTGATTATTCTCACGATATCTCTATATCAAGAATTCTCAGTCCCATAATTGCAAGGATCAGAGGGACTCTACTCGAAGCTACCGCTAAGGACAAGGACTCCTTCGAGGTCATGGCACGAGACACAATAGCGAATGCCGCTACTGTTGCCTAACAAGAGCAAGTAATGGTAGTATAATCAATTAGAAGCCCTCAGCATCTTATATGAGATGTCTTCGTATCTCGCGCTATCCCAAGTCAGCTGGTTCTTCGCTATGAGTGCTCATCCTGATCACATGGGCAACTCTTCCCATGACTTCAAGATAAAATAACCCCTCACAACATGAATTATATCTGTTGAGAAGGTGTCAGTGCCACCTTTCCAGTTTAAATAGTTAGGAAATCAACACCAACTATCATCCAATTACTATGAAATTATAAGTATAGCAGTGTCCAAGCCTGCTTCTATGTCGACTCTTTCAGCAATAATAATGATATTGTCTATCACCATTGTCTAAAGATATCAGTAATTCCACTTTCTCCACATAACACTGCAAATTTCTACCAGACCGAGATATCTAGAGACATAACATCCCACTTGCTCTACCAAACCCTGTCATAGTAGATCATCCAAGATGATTCCAGAGTAGCCACACAACTTCCCAACTATACCAAAGCCACAGTAATTGAGGGTCAGATATTGTTCATCGGCAGTTGTTATGTGGTCGATCAGAATATCCCAGTAGGACTATCCTGTCATTATCCATATGCGAACAAATTTATTTCCTGAGTCAAGTTGCGTACGAGATGACTATAACCTCTGGATGTTTTACCAAGGACTCAAAACATACTTGGATAGTATGTAAAACTTCTACATATTTGAGGAAAAGCTAAGATAAGTTCGCTGGGCCATGTAATATCTGTGCTGATTGATGCTATGGTTCCGATACTCGATACCTTGGTTATTATGAGGACTGCTTCTTGGTGGGGATAGGAAGACTATTCGCTGAATGAGATAGATACATCGTTCCGTTGTGTAAGATCTCCTTAATTTGGAGAGTGCGTTAGATTTATCTAAGAGTATGCTCACTAGACAGTACTAGTATTGGGAGCTAAGAAGTTTACATTATATGATAACTCACTGAACAACTATTAGTAATGATCGATGATATATATCTTTCCCTCCAGAATTCAGTAATCGTCTATGCACTGATGCTATTACAGTTGACATTGATACATGCCTTTAGAAACGCAGTTCGATACAGTCGTACACATACACATGTGTATCCCAGTATATTAACCCTCAGCTCAAAATACCCTCTAAGAAGATAATTTGACATTTGACCCCTCATGAGGTTTTTACTGTCAAGGGGCAATTTTATTCGGGTCCGTCTGTCAAGGGTGGTCTCCACACGTTCAGTATCAGCTAGCTCTGCTTCAAGATAGTGCGTAACTCTTATCTTCTGTCGGGGGATGAGTGTGGTAGCTTCAATACTGATGACATGGTCTGTAGAACTGTGGTTGGACTTTGAGCTTGTGGGTGATGTGTACGATCAGGAAGAGGAAACTACTGATATATCATGGGATAAATGTCGAATTATGTAGGCGGTAGATAGTGCTGATGCAATGGACTGTCTAGAGGCTTGATCGTGAGAAGGACATAAGATATGTTGAGGAATATGATTTCAGAATGGATGCCTGGTAGGGTAGATTGAAGAAGAGTCGGGCTATCCAGCGGCCGAAGAAACTGGTCTCTATGTAGTCCGGGGAACAGGCATTATCGGGCATGCGATGTACTGCGCATTTCATCAGGACGACCGAAGTCTTGTAGATACAGTCCAGAGGGTTGGTGTAGCGACGAACGTCGATCAGCTGTGAATGTCATGGAAATCGATTACTGATTCAACATGTTTGAATTCAGGAGAACTGTTACCTAGGTTATAATCTCAACTTCATCAATTTGGCACTGGAATTTAAAGATGAGCTTCAAGTTCAGAACAGCACGATGCTAATCAAGGGGCAAGACTTGTTGCCCGGAGTAAAAGAATACCTACACAAGAACAGTATAGGTCAGGTTGCATGGCAACTGATATATCGCATATACCTGCTCTTGTCAACTGCATGTCAGTCAAGCCACATTCCATCGTGCCAGGAAATGATCCATCTAAATATAGATTCATTCTGATACAGATTCAGTCACAGCAACTGGTTGAAGACTGTAGGGCTTGTCGATCCATAGCATAGCTATCGGCATACCACGATCGTCGGAGATACGGATGCCATGCTCTGCTCTTCCCTTGACGTGAACCTGGCATGCGGCGGAATGTGTGGGGTGCGTGAAGTATGTGGCAATGACTCGCGAGTCACTACAGGGGTTGATCGGTTAAATTTAGTAACAAGAGGTTGTAGTTCCAACGCGTTGTCATGGTGCAATCGAAGTGAGACCATGTCTGTCACTTGTTTCACTTCCCGTGTGTAGTCTGTAGACTATTGAAATTGCTAAATTCAGACGGGCTGCATAGACTAACGACATTATGGTTGAGCACGATATTGTACAAACAAGAGTGAATAGTGTTCGTAGGTAAGACAGGCGACTCGATCACTGGCACGTGGAATTGACACAGGGTAGCGGGTCAAAGGGCCCGATACAATGTCATAGTTCTCATACAATGTCAGTTCTCATGGAATTCATGAGTTGCAAAGGAATGGGAGGGTCCATTGCTACCTCAGACACAGGCCAAGAGCGGGATGGGAACTTGTCCCGGAAATGTATGTCTTTAGCCTGATTCTCACCCTACGATCCAAAGTAGATCGTATCATGTTGGTGGATTTTACCGCTGTCAAATCATGGAATACGGAGGTGCCTAACAGTCAATGTGTTTCACCATTGGTGACAGATGGACCCTGCATTAGTCCATGACAGGTGGTTTCTGATGTCATGTGGGAGACCCAGTTCGCCGTAGGATTTTTCGGGGCAGTCTGACGGTCTGACATCAGATCACTGATCATTGCTGAGTTGTCTCCATGGGCGCCAGCACGGCCTGCTTGAACCGGATTTTGGAGATTTTTCAGGCCACGACTGTGAGCTCCACCGGCAAATCAGAATTCAGAGATAGATTTCCTCAGGAGCCGGAGTTCCCACCCAACTGGGCAAATGCTTGGCGAACCGGAACGTCATTCCACCCCGAGATGAAGATATTAAAATAGAAACACCACTCTGATGGCCTCTGAAGTCTGAACAAGTCAATACTCGACAGGGTCTTGATCAAAGACAAAGATGATCGCACCATAACACTAGTCCTCGCAAGGGAATTTGCAAGAAGACTCCAGCCTTGTGGCCCCGGCCTTGTTGGCTTTCGCTTTTCAGGGGCCAACGACCTAAAAAAAGGACGACCAAAGAGGGGAAGCGCAGGTGGACAAGGAGGACTGGACCGATTCAGCTAGCGTAGGCACAGGTCAGTCGCCGACAGGGGCGACGACGAATGAGGTTGGGTCTGGTTGGCGAAGAATGGGCCCGGTCAGGCACCGGCGACACATGATAGGCCATGTGGCCGGAATGGGGAAATTACCAGCAAACCTTAGCAGCGACGCCAGCGAACAAACCAAGACCGAGCTAGGCGGAAAGCGGCTAGGGTGTCCTTGCGTTCACTCGGTCTGGAGTCTGGACTGAGCCAGTGAGCCTGCCAGCCTGGGGCCTCAGGACTAAGCGCCCTTGCGCCTCGTTCTTGATTCTTCCTGTCGTGCCGGGCGGGTGCCCACCGGGGCTTACTACGGCACTGCAACGCTACTCCTCTTCTCCCTCCTCCTCGCTCACCCTCCCTTCGCTCGCTCTCTTCTGCCTTTCCCTTTGTTCCTTTCTTCCATTCCCCCAGCGACACCCCATACCAACCCCTCCCCTCATTCTTCCTCCTTCCTCACCCCGTCACGTTCTCTTTACCCAAAGCAGGTGTCGGCTTCACTCTTTCAGCTGATCGCCTTGCTGTCCGTTCGTTCGCTATACCAGCCCGGTCGATTTTTATCAACCCAGTTGACGCCCCTCTCCCCGCCTCAACTACGCCACCCTACCGACCTGATACATACTCTCTTTTTGTTCGACGACTCCGTCTCCATCCGGTCTCTTGAAAAGGATATTTTCGTCTGATTCTATCCTCGCGAGACCCTTGTTGAGACCTCGTAAGTGACAGTCGGCGACCGAGGTGCAGCATATCCAGAATTGACAAGGATATCGCTCACAGCAATTCGATTCTTCGATTATATTCTCCTCGTCTGCGGAGAAATACCTTTACCATACGAACCATTTCTTCGGATTGCATCTGAAGATCATATCGAACCCAAAAAATCAACTTTAAAAAAATGTTCACTCCCATCTCGAAGTTCGTTCGGCGCGATGATTCTAGCGATGGACTTTCCCCGTACATGGTCGATCTCCTGATTTCCCTCCTGGTCCTTATCCTACTCGGTATCGCCATGGTTGGTGCGCTCCTTGTCCTACGCCGCAAGCGCCTCAGCCGGGAACACTCGGAACTTCCTGTACACAACGGGCAATGCGTGCCAAGCCATCGTCGATTCACGGTCTCCGCCTCGCCGAACGCCAAGACCGAGTCTGTTCTGGTCTATGATGAAAAGCGCAGCCTCATGCAGAACTCGTCGAGCCCCCCGCCTAGCCCTGTCCCCGAGATTCGCATTACGTTCCCCGAGGAGGAGGACGAATCCGGAAAGCGCAAGTCTGGTCGCGTGGTGGTGGTGAGGATTACCGATGCCGGTGGTGTGGGTTTGGAGCCTTGCAATGAGGAGCTCCCCCCGTATCAGTCCAGCGATGCAGAGCGATTCCAGTCGTTGGATATCGAGCGTATGGGCGGCCTGAAGGAGAAGGAGGCCACGACTAGGTGGTCTTAGAGGATCCGACTGCTTCCGACAACGGTCATCTGCGCATTCTTCCATCGACTGATACCCCGAATGACCAAGTTCGGCTGTTGTCGCACGTGGACGAGATCCGAAAAGCATGACGATATCCGGCGAAGATTTGCCTCGATTCATCTCCGTATTTAGACCCTTCGCTTCATAGTACCTTGGCGACTTGCACATACGCATATGCTCTGTCCCGTTTAGCCACCACGCTCGCCGATTGACCCGGGCAGTATCTACTTTTGGATGTGAAATTATACCGGACCGGTTGACGGCCAATCCATACTGCCCGATTGTACAGCACGGCTTGCTGGCTCTTATTGATATTTGTCCTTTTACCCTGATAAGGCGTTCATTTCTTGTGCTTGGTCACTTTGGTCTTTTCACCCTGCCACGTCACTAGGGCTGAGAAGACGTTACGCACTGGTTTGGTTGAGTTTCATTCTCCTTTATTCTTATTCGCTTCTATCTCCAATTATCTTCTACCACGCTCGCCCTTTACAGTACCAATTTGCGTTCAGGGTGGTTAAGCTGGATAATGTATGTACCTAGTCTGCTACATGGTGGCTGAGAGCCTCATAAGCGTATTGATAAGTACATGACACTTGCTCAGGTTCTTGATAATTTGAATGGCAGCAGGCACCCAGCGATGGGTACTCCGTAGGAAATGGCAAAACAATTGCCGAAGATAATAGTTATATTACCATTAAAACATAACTATATACGGGAAGTTCCTAAGGTTTTACTATAGGAGTTAGTTCTATCCCGCAAAGGTCAATAGCATAAAACGTGGGATCTTAATTATCTCAAATATCTCCTACACCGTATATCTATGCGGAGTACATTTCACATATTTGCCCAAGATCGAGATCTAATCTCATCTATCCCCACCTGGGATGTATAGAATTCACGTGATTGATTACCGGAGTACGGAGCAACTTTGTACAACATGAGTGACAATCATAAAAGATAAGACGGACAATTCATTCTAGTCTCTCCTTTGCTTTATCGATCCCGCTTTATATCGTTTCCCTTGCTTCCAGGGATATACATGTGACATGGAACATGGATCTGGTCACGGTGTATACCACCCATAACATTAACACCCAGAAATAGAAATACAATCCCGCACACCTTCCCCAACCCTCTTCCATCTACGTGCACCATAGCTGCAGTCACATTTTCCTCGAACCGGTCCGTCTTACGAGCTGGATCGCTACGTGGCATGGCTTTTGGGAGAGGCCGGAATCCCTGCATTTATCTGGCGTGCATATCTACGTAGCTGAAGAAGGGAAGCTTGGTATGAGGAGACCCCCCCCCCCCCCCCTACCCTCTCTGATTATCATTGTCGGTGACGGGGTCAGATAATATGATACACAGGTCGATGGGTCTAGATTGATACTGTTTTCTTGCGAGCGGTTGGGTGGTGGTTCGGTTGTTGTATTTTTCTTTGGGTACGTATATGTTTTGTGTGGAACTGAGGGCATTTTGATAGGTGATGTGCCTCGTCTCTGGGTATCTTTGGGGTTTATGGGATTGGAGAATGTGTCTGGGGATGTAATTGATTGATGATGTAGAGATGCAATAGCAGAAATGGGGAATGAGAAGGGGAGGTATATTTTGTATGAAAAATGAGGGGGTAATTACAAACACCAGGAGTACAGGAACAATGCGCAAGATTAAACCCCCCCATACACGGTAGTAGGAGTGCTCCGTGTGTTGCTTGAAAGCCGCTGCGAGGGTAACCTGTCCAAACCTCGTTTTGCCGCAGCCTTCTACATGATGGATTGCCTATCATGGTCAGATGAAGTTTAGCTGGCTGGTTTGTCTCATAGTTCGTCCGAAACGACTCCACAGCATGTCTCTCCAATCAACGCATGTAGGAAGCATCGTGGGTATACAGGGTAATCCCTGAAACTGTTATATAGCTGCAACTATGGCCTCACTCCTAGGATATTCGTAGTTGATCTGTGATGATGAATCGATGGTCTGATGTGACAGCCATGATATCAGTAGTAGCAAGGCTAGTCTCGATCGATGGGGAAATGGTTTGCATCAACGACATGCTGAGAAGGGATCGGATAGCCTGTACTTGGGTTTGCGCAAAGGCTGTGGTTCAACAAATGAGACGGGGAGTGTGGGAGGAGATGAAAAACGCGGAAGGAGAACCAGCCTTGCTCTGCTTATTTTATAGATAAAACAGGCTCTTCTGGGGCCTAGCATCATATGGGGAGCAAGAGGTGATGGCAGGTGTAACAGTAATACAAAGGTTGCCCTCAAAGTTCTCGAAAAGGGCCTAGACTATCCATTGGACTTCATAAAATGCTACCCCGCCAGTACGTAAGACTCAGGAAGCTTTGAGTCAGGCCATGGGTGGGCTGATACCAGGCAAGGGCTGGCACTGTGAAGGTGCATCGGATTGTGTGCCTGCCGGCTGGCTGTTCTGTTCGACAAGGTCACAGTCACGAGACCACGATGCACACCAGACCTCGTTCTTTCTCTCTTTCTCTCCCTCTTCCACTCCCCCTGCGGTTCAACGCACTCGAATAACTCCAGCCTGCCTAACTTCTTTAATCTCTACGATGTTAAGTCGCGCTTCCTTGTCCTTGGCCTCATTTTATACAGCAAATACTGATCGCCATCGGATATTCAGACTGAAGAGTAAGCAATGTCCGCACCCCCAACTCGCACAGATCATTCAAGACTCTTCTCAAGATTCTAGAGCCCGTATGCAAGGTCTTCCACTCGGCTCTGGCCTCCGGATTCTCCGAAACCCACCATACCGTTATACCTGCGAAGACACAATTGACGAGACCATCGAACTTTTTATCGATTGGGCCTACAGGAGAGTTTTCATGTATCCGTCGGTGCCTACAGAGCCCATCAAGCCTGCATCCATAATTGCAGCATCCGAGAAGACCGATCCCATATCAGGCGATGGTGATGACCAATTTATGACCCACCTCCGAGTTTACATATTCAGCGACCTCTATATCAGAGAAGACCTGGAAGTAGTCGCACTAACTGAACTCATACATTATCTCAAAAGCTTGGACGCCACCACCGACACCATAATCAGTAGACCCCCGTGATCGCCATGTTGGATCTAGCCCTCAGGAAACTTTTCCGCAATGATGACCTCCTAAAGTGGCTGGTATGGTACACATCGGAAGATATCCAGGCACTACGTCTCCATGAATATTTTCACGACCTCTTGCAGATACAACCAATACTAGCCTCGATGATGATGAAGTCCTTGCAACCGGCAACAATGTCTCCCATACCGCCACACAAGGGTCCTCATAAACAAAGCAAGTGGTTGTAAGAACTGCCACCAGGCCCGAGGCCGTGACTGACAAGCACCAGTTGTCCTTGGATGGTCATTTATGGGCAACTACAATCTTGTCTTCTAGTCTTTATAACTCATGCCAAAGGTACTTCGTTATCGCCATTCATACTCTTCACACATAACAGCATTATATCTCCAACTGTAAACATAGCATTCACCCCCTCACCCACATACCACTAGACGTACGTTACAAAAAGCTTTACTCCGTACTGTGGTATGGATTAACTTTATCGCGGAATGTATAAAACAAAGCTAATAGCCCTGGGTGAAGAGAGTGACAGAGTCATAGAAAAGTCAAAGTGGAGAGACTAAGTGCGGGAAGTGGGGAATTGCGGGCGGGGACGAAACTTTACCTTTGATCGATCATCGGAAAGATCGCGTGGCGGGTGGCTTGTTTCAACTTCATGGTTGGTTACATAGTGGTAGGGTTGATGGGGGTTCAGGTGTAGTTTACACTTGGCATGCCGTAGGAAGTGGTGATTATATGAGGGATGGGATCTGGCTCTGATGGTTGTGCTGTATCTTGAGATGCTTTAAGAATGCGGGCACGGTGTAGATGTACTTAGGGGCCACTATTGCTGGCGATTATTGACTACTTCAACCAGTGATGGCACGAGATTGGGAAAGATTGATTATTTTCCAGGGTATGTCGGAGGGAATGAGGGCATAAACATCGCATGAAAAACAGACGGAACAGGAACTTTTCTGCGTGCTGCAAACCAAAGGGGGTATTTACACAAGCTGCAAAGCATGGAGTCACGATGTACAGTCATCCGTCGTAGCAAAAGGGTCATGAGAAAATCAAAGCAGGCAGTAATTTTAGCCCTCTTCCATTACAACACCACTCTCCGATTCAACCAGGGTAGTGCGGTCAGCGGCCCCAGCGCGAAAAGTCCAAGTTCTGCAAGATATTCGCATCGGCAGCCGCGTTCCAATCGGTAGCGAAATCGGTTCGGACCGACGCGTTACGCGACGGTACCTCTTCGGAAAAGATATTGGCTTTGGTGTTGCGACGCTGGCCCGGGTAGGTGCCTTCTGCAGCGTCAGAACTTTGGGCCTGCGATCCTAGTGCCCGCTCACGAAGTCTCTTGATCTCACGTAGTCGGTTGCGCCAGGACGAAATGTGCTCGCCTCCTTGGCTGTGCCAAACAAGCGAGAACACGGACGCATTGAGAGCAAGAATGCGAACAAACGGAGCCAGGTTCTTTCCGGAGATGAGTTTCGGCACTGCAGCCGGTGATATCTCCGGGAATCCAGGCTTGCTCATCACCCTCACCTGGTAGAACAGGCTTTCGAAATCAGTTCGTTTCGACTCCGCGACACCAGGCTCGTTGGTAAGGCGACACACGGGGTTGATAACAATATTGACAAAGTTGAACTGAGAGGGGATCGTGTTGAAATTAAAAGGGGTATTCGACCGGTTGAATATGATGTTGACAAAGTCATTGCCAATGTGGCGCTTTTTGTTGATGCAGGAAGGGTCGTTATCGAAGTTTGTAGGCATCATGGTCGGAACATGGTAGACAATCTCCGTAACCCGATCGCGCCACGCGTAGGTAAACTCTCCATCAAGGTCAGCATGCAACCCTTGGGTATTGAACCGTGCACCCTGGAGCGGAACCTTGGTTCCAAGTCTCGACAGAAAGTACTCATAATCCGGGCTGCCGCTGGTATTGGAGAGGATCTCAGCTTCTGTTGTCTGGCCGTTATCGACATAGATGACACCAATCTTGTGCCCATCCACAATATCGTTCCGGTCAAAAGTGTTCAGTGCCCGTCGAGTCATGTCATCGTCGGGAAGAGGAATGGGCTGCATCACGGTCGGGGTGGGGAAAGCCGTGGTTGTCAGCTGGAGCATGACATGGCTCGGAAGAACGGCAGTGCGCATGGTGTCAGAGTGCAAGTGAGCGTCAGGCGTAGGAGGAACCTGATGCGGAAGAACAGGCGCAGTTCGCTGCTGATACGTTGCGTAGGTAGTGCCTGACGCCTGCCGCTTGGTGATTTGAGTCAGGCCAGAAACCCCAGCCGTCTCAACGGTTACGATGCTCATACCCACGACCCAGGACTTCTTGACCACGGGCCCATCCTCGGGAGACGGTGGGAACGTCGGATATGGAATAGTATCTCCCAAATCCGAGAATGCTGACCGCTGCATCAAGTCAATGAAAACCTGACTTGGCTCTTCCACCGTCTCTTTCCCCTGTTCATCCCGATAGATGAGTCTGCTAGTTATCCAGTTGACGTGTTTGGCTCGATCCTGCAACTTCAAGGACAAAAACCAGAAAATCATGACATGATACGTAAGCGTATAGATGTATCTGGACATCCCGTCTTGGAGCGAAGGATCAGATGACTCTGCAGGAGAAGCCAAAGAATCTCGTACGCCACCGCCAAGCCTTGTTGAGACCTGGACATTCCTGGTAGGGGATTCAGAGGCCTTGAACCGTTGCTCTCTGGAGGTTTGCAAGAATCGGATGCAAATGCCAAAAACGGTGCGGATCTCTTCTTCGCGTAGGTTGATATAGACATCAGGCAGGCGCGCCAGGAGGGCCAAAAACTCCAGGATATGCACAGCAAGATTGGACATTGTAATGACTTTGGACATCTTGTCGAGGATCCCGTTGAGAGACTTGGTCACCGAAAGCGGAATTTCATGGCAACAGACAGAGAGCGCATGTATACACCCACGAGAGGTACCTCCCCAGGAACCAATTATACCCATCATGAAGGCGCGCACGAGTTCGTCCTCTTCACTCTTGGCAAAATGTTCATGATAACTGATCAATGAGCAGAGAAACTCGAAAATATACCCAGCCACATCGGTCTTTTTTACACCAGTGGACGGCGGTGGTTCACGGAAAGAATCATTTTTGACCTGATCACACAGGATGCTGCGTAGCAGCTTGACCTGAGGAACTGCGTTGCTGAAAATGTCCTTGTTCTGGAGCTGGCTCGCAAGATGTGTTAGGACATAGCTGTAGAGATCCCAGTTGGTCTCGCGTTGTAGCAGTGAGATGACGGTCTCGAGCCACATGTTCGCCTTAAGTGCGACCTTTTGCGCAGGGTCTGACTCGACGTGGTGACTGGTGTCCGGTGTTGCATAAGCGTACACAAAAGGACTCGATTCATCGGGGGGTGCTTCGGGAAGAACCTGAGGAGTTGCAAATGTCCAGATTGGGGGTGTCAATTTCGAAGCGCGAACAGGAATGATTGAGTTCCGTCCAGCTGATCTAGATAGCACAGATGGCTCCCGGGCTGAGTGCCTCCCATGAGCTGCTGGCCGCCCCTGATCACTGTCAACGTTATGATCTCCAGACGAGTCACCATGTGATTTGGATCCTCCCTCGAAGTTCCGCCCGGAAACGCTCATCATGAAATCGTTTTCGGAGACGGAGGTCACGGTAATCGAGCCCGACGAGTCACAGCGTAGTCGGAATAGTAATTTCATTGACGTCAGGCGCGAGTCGACTGGTCGCTCCGAAGACTGCGCGATGTTCAAGAGCGCTTCGTATACCGAGGCTGCCTTGTTCGCCGACATGTTTAAAGATCGCAGAAACATCTTAACAAGCCCAATTGTGCATATGTTGGCCAAGGATAACTCCAGCACACTGTTATAGGGATGGCGTTCCGAGGACATGGTCGAAGACTCGGACCCGAGAACCGCTTCCCTGTCAAGGTCCTTGTCCATGGGAGAGCTTAGGATTCCCACCAAACGCTTGAAACTATCGTCATCACTAGCAAGCACAGAAGCGTCGACGAGGAAAGAGACCAACGACTCTAAGAACAAAATATCATCCTCATCAGCAAACTTTTCCAGCATGAGATCAAGAAGCCCTTGTTCTTGGAAAAGCACTAGAGAATCATAGGTTAAGAAGGAATCCTTCACCGTATCCAAAGCCAGGATCCGAACGTCGGAGGGTTTGCTGCGGGAGCGAATAAAGCAGCGAATGAGTCGTTGGTTCTGCTGTATCCACCCCGGACTCTCAGGGGAGCAGAACCCCTCACTCCGGATGGTGTTCAGGACGAGCTCAGCCTGCGGAGGCTCAATGTATCGACAAGCATTCATAAGGAAACGCGTCGCATCTAGCCGTTGCTGATGGTTTAAACGATCCCAGAGAGTTTCAAGGGTAGATGCGATTTGAATGGTGTTTGCCAAAATGTTAGATCGTGTGTCGTCTAACACACTGCCCCGCGGCTGCGCTTCAGCCATTGTCAAAGAAGACTCCTCTGGCTCGTCAACGGCCCTAAGGGAACACGAATTCAATAAATTCACGAACTCGCCCCAGTCCTGGTCCAAAATCAAGTGAACGAAGTCACCTTCCAAAATGTTCAAACACAACTCCAAGATATCCGCTTCCAGCCGGCCATCATCCTTCTTCACGACAACCTGAAGCGAGTCGATCAGATGGGTGAACTGGACTTCGGGTATCCCATCCTGACCGTGCGCGCGTACAAGATCCATGAAAACATAGACTGTTCCCCGCACAACGTTAAGATTACGGCTTATTTCACCGCAAGACTCTGACAGAAAGGAGTATAAATTATCCATCATTTCAGACTGTCTCCTTGACTTCGCTAGATTCCGGACCGCTCTCGATGTGGGGCCGGACAACGATTTGACAGAGGCATGAATGCTGCACAAGACCTCAAGCATCGGAACAAAGCTGCCATCCGGGACGTCCGCATAGAGTATTACGGCATCGAAAAGGCTCAAGGAGTTCTTGATGTCAGTGGCGACACTTGTCTTCCTGCAAATCGTGAAAATTTGTTCTAATAACGTCTGAACCTCTTCGTCGCTAGGCGGTTTGCGCTGCAGTGTGATTAGATCTACCGCGAACTCCAAAAGGGCATCCAAGACAGCGCCGTCGTATCCCAACCCATTCACTTTTGATTTCCTTGCCTTTAGGCGCGCGGAGGAAATCAAGTCGTACAACGGAACTAGACAAGCAGATATCACGGGGAGAATAGATGAGGCTGCAAAATCCAGTTTTCGGCCATGGTCTGATAGAGAAATCAGAGATTGGACACGTGCGGGGATGACATCGTTTTCTGAGGGGTTCAATATTGACTCGAAGACGATACGCCGCGCTGCTGGAGACAAATCCTGACGTGCCGCAACGGCTTCTAGCAACATCGAACCACTCCGTCGAGCTTCTGGTGAGCTAACATGCTGGAACAGATGTGCCCCTGCCTCCCAAAGAGCGAGGGATTGCTCCGGACTAAACCACTGGAGTGACTTGGATATTTGCTCCGCCTCATCAACAGCTTGGCCTAAGGACTGCCTCTGCGACAATGTCCGGACCGCCGTATCGAAATCCCGCGCACCCGAGGTGTCGGAGGAGCTAGACACGACACTGCCACGATGCATTGATTCAAATCCCAGTACAAGCCGACTGCTTCTGCGTCCATCCGTCGAGAGCGATAGAGAATCAGTGCTGTCCTGTAGCGAGACGGGAGAAGGCGATTTTGGGCGGGTAATGCTTAGAGACTTGAAGACGTCGACAAAACTTGATGCTGTGTGCTTGGTGTGGTACAGGGATGGAGCATCGTCAGAAGACATGCGTCCCAGTGGACGGAGGGAGGGAGGACGGGCTTCTTAAGGACAAAGGCTTATATATCTGTCCGATGACCGGTCAGCGACGGGATTGTGACTAGAGGCCACGAAGGTCACCGGTCAGCTGGAACTGACCCGGTCTACATCTGCGGTCCACTTTACACCAGATCTCACATACCATTGGCAGGTCACATGTATGGATCAACGACGAGAGGAGACCCGCAAAGGGGATATATATGAGGCTTTTATCGGATGTTACACTTGAAGAGCTGCTCCAAGCGGCATGGCAATGGACCACTAGTACTCTGCAACCGGGATCGGAAATCGGTCAAAGGAATGTAATTCAACTTTTAGCCAAACAAAGGAACACTGCCGAACAAGCACAGCCGGACAACAAAGAGACAGGGAAGCTAAGTGATATTGGGTTATAATCAGAGCAAAAGTGTGCCAAGCCACTTTTCCCCTCCGAGCAGCGATGATGATGATCTGGCGGAGGTCGGCACCGCGTTGATCCGCACAGTCACCTGATGGGCAGAATGACCCCGCGGCCGCCGCTCACCGCCCGCATTTTGCAAAGCAACCGCCAAACAAACTGCCAGTCCAGGAAGTCAAGCTCCCACCCGGCTTTTACTGAGCCATTCGTTATACCCTGGGTTACAAAGAAATTCCCCCCACCCCTGCAAGATAGCTTTTCCCCCCTAACATCTCACCCATCCCCCCTCACTTGTGTCACCTTTTTTCTTCACCTCCGCCGCTGTCTGGGTATTTTGATCTCGTCCCCGCTCCAAAATGGCTGATGGTCTTGGAGCTGTTGCGCAGCTCCTTGAGGCAAGCTTGGATCCAAGGCAAAACAAGCAAGGTTAGTACATTCTCTCCATCTTTAGCCATAGGAAGGCGCGTGTTCAGTGCGTTCCTGCAATTTCACTCTGCATAAACCGAATTTCCAACTAATTCTGAGCCAGCCGAACTTGCTCTTCGCCAGGAGGAAAAAAAACCAGGCTATTCGTTGCAGCTTCTCCAGATCACGGCCTCGGCGTCCTATCCTTACAACACCCGTCTTGCTAGCGCATTATGTTTCAAGAACTTTATCAAGCGGAACTGGACTGATGAAGACGGAAACTATAAGCTCCAACAGGAGGAGGTCGCTACCATTAAGCAGGAGCTGATCAGCCTGATGATTTCCGTCCCAACGGGTATTCAGACTCAGCTGGGAGAAGCTGTTAGTGTTATCGCCGATAGTGATTTCTGGGAGAGATGGGATACACTTGTGGATGTAAGCTCCAGACCAGTTCTGTTTTTTGCTCGTGCATTTTCAATTGACATCCGCAGGATCTCGTCTCCAGACTCCAGCCGAGCAACCCCGCTGTCAACAACGGTGTCCTACAGGTCGCACACTCGATTTTCAAGAGATGGAGACCTCTTTTCCGATCGGATGAACTATACAGAGAAATTAATCACGTCCTCGAAAGATTTGGCAGCCCATTCTTGGCTCTGTTCGAGGTGAGTTCGACCCTCCCCTTCACCGTGCCCTCGAGGTCGAGTCTCAGAGCAGTCAACTGATTCAGTTCTAGGGATTGGATGCCTACCTTGAGGAGAATAAATCCAACAAGGACAATCTTGTTCTGGGATTCACCCAACTCAATTTGATGATCAAATTGATGTATGACCTCTCTTGCCACGATCTTCCTCCGATGTTCGAAGAAAATATTTCAGGGATAGCCACACTTATGCTCAAATATCTGACCTACGATAACCAACTCTTGCACACTGATGATGATACCGAAGCCGGACAGCTGGAATACGCCCGTGCGGGGATTTTCCAAGTTCTGACATTGTACGTGCAGAAGTACATGGACGAGTTCCAACCTCACGTCGGACAATTCGTGGAAAGCTCGTGGAGCTTCTTGACCCTCATCGGTCAGGAGACCAAATACGACATCTTGGTCAGCAGGGCTTTACAGTTCTTGACCTCGATTGCGGGCATGACCGAGCACGCATTTGTCTTCCAAGCTGAAGACACCCTTGGACAAATCATTGAAAAGGTCATTCTGCCGAACGTCAGCCTGCGTGAGTCGGATGAGGAGCTTTTCGAGGATGAGCCGATTGAATTCATTCGCCGCGATCTTGAAGGGTCCGATAGCGATACTAGACGGCGCGCCGCCACTGACTTCCTAAGACGGCTTGCCGAGCGGTTTGAGGACTCCGTGACCAGAGTTGTGCTCAAATACACCGAGCATTACCTTTCCGAATACGCCAAGGCCCCTGCCGCGAACTGGAAGGCCAAGGACACTGCAACCTATCTCTTCTCTGCAATTGCGGCCAAGGGAACTGCTACTTCCAGTCACGGTGTCACTGCTACGAACAAGCTCATTAGCATTACCGATTTCTTCCAGAAACACCTTGCTGCGGATTTGGTCACCGATGATGGCGTACACCCTATCCTTAAGGTCGACGCCATCAAGTACCTGTATCTTTTCCGGAGCATCATCACGAAGGAACAGTGGCAGGAGGTCCTTCCCATGTTGGTCAAGCACCTTGGGTCCTCGGAGTATGTCGTTTACAGTTACGCGGCCATTGCCGTCGAGCGTGTCCTCTACCTTACCGATAGCCAAGGCCAACCGATCATCTCGCCCGCCACTATCACTCCCCTGTCCAAGGACTTGTTGGAACATATTTTCTCTCTGATCCAAAAGGACCCGGCTCCTCAGAAGGTACAGGAGAACGAGTTCCTCATGAGATGTGCTATGAGAGTCATGATCGTCATCAAGGAAAACGTGGTCCCGCATACCGACAGTGTCCTTCAGCATCTGATCAACATCACGAAAGTCATCAGCACCAACCCAAGCAACCCCAGATTCTACTACTTCCACTTCGAAGCCCTGGGAGCATTTATCCGGTACGTAAACCCTAGCTGCCGTTGAATCTTCAGCCACTGACCATGAATATAGGTTTGCCGCCCCTGCTAACCCCGAAAAGCTGGAGCAAGCTCTTTATCCTCCGTTCGCAGAGATTCTGCAGGGAGATGTGCAAGGTATGTCGTGACCAGCATGTGAAAGCCCGTGCTTTATGGCTAACGTTTGATCAGAGTTCATGCCTTACATCTTCCAACTGTTTGCCGCACTTCTTGAGGCTAACCCCTCGGGAACATTGCCGGACTATTATCAGAACTTGATTGCCCCGATTCTCATGCCTGTCATGTGGGAGTCCAAGGGCAACATTCCCGCGCTTGTGCGGCTTTTGTCGAGCATCATTGGCCGCGGATCTCACTACATTATCCAGAACGAGCAGATTGTTCCCATTCTTGGTATCTTCCAGAAGTTGCTTTCAACCAAAGCCAATGAAGGCTACGGATTCGACCTTCTCGAGTCGGTGGTTGCAAGCTTCCCTCCGTAAGTGAAGCCCCTGAGCAGCCAGCGAGGTGATTACTGACGCTCTTGTAGGGCAACACTGGAGCAGTACTTCGTGTCAATCTTGCAGGTCATTCTCACCCGTCTCCAAAACTCCAAGACGGAAACTCTTACCCTTCGATTTGTTCGTTTCTATCACTTCGTTTCCGCGCAAGACGACAAGGGTTACAGTGCCGACTTTATCATCCAGGTGATCGATAAAGTCCAGCCAGAGTAAGGATCTCTTATCTGACCTCGAAAGTGGCCATGCTAACTAACCACCATCAGGCTTTTCACTCCCATCTATCTTAACATCATCCTCCCGGAAACACAGAAGCTTGCTCGCCCGTTGGACCGCAAGACCGCCGTGCTGTCATTCACCAAGACTCTGGCTAACTCCGAAGCCTTTGCGAGCCGGTACAAGAAGGGATGGGGCTTTACTTGTGAGGCTCTGCTCAAGCTGTTGGAGCTTCCTCCTCTGCCTGCTAGCAAGGACGACATCATCGCCGAGCACGATGTCGAAGATATGGCTTTTGGAGTTGGTTTCACGGCACTGAACACTGTGCGGCCACAGACCAGGGACCCGTGGCCCGACACGGGGGCCGACCTGAAGGCCTGGACTGGCAAGTATTTGAAGGAAGCAGACAAGCAGAACGGCCGTATTTCTGGGTTCGTCCAGGAGCGTCTTGGAGCCGAGGCTAAGACAGTGCTGCTTAGCTACATCGCATGAACAGGCTAATGGGGTCGCTCGCGCTATTTACCGGGGTGTAACATTTCCTGTGCCAAATAACTTGTCCCTATCGGGCTGTCTGCATGTTGAAAAAGAAACATGGAGAAAGTGTTGGTTATTTCCAACCACTCCATTGCATGTCCTTATGAATTAAATTAGATGATCTTTATATCCCTCAATCTGTTTGTAGGCAGCTTTCGTATTCTACAATGACTGACGTGCTAACGACGCACTTCGAGTCCGCTGCGTGATGCAGATGTTGGTGTTACCGTTCCCAGCAACGGGTAAACAGAAGACGCCTACTGTCATTCACTTCTGTTCCTGCTGTACGTGCTGTTGGCTGGGCAGCTGATGTGGGCTCTGCTCTTCTGCTCCCAACGCTTCACCCTCGTTGGGATCATTAACGTCCTGCGCATCGTGCTCTTCTGCCCCGGGGCTCTCGTTTCCGTCTTCGAGCTCCCGGTACTTCCGCCGGCTCTTCTTCATCTTACTGGCCTTCTTCTTCCTTGCACGGTCGGCCTTGATGGCAGCACGGCTTTGGTCCCCATGCAGGAGTTGTTCCACCTTATCGGCGAGTATCTGCCGGGCAATCTTCTCATTCTGGGATCGGGATCGCGTGGCTTGCGACTTGACCACTACACCGGTGGGCTTGTGTATGAGCTGGACGGCCGAGTTGGTTTTGTTCTACGCACGAGAAGCCATTAGAACCAAGACGGGACAATCAACGTGTAGCAGAGCAGGGTTACGTACAATCTTCTGCCCTCCCGGGCCAGTGCCCTTGAGGTATGAGATGATCACATCGGCATCTTCGATTTTGAGGCGGGGCGGTAACGCTTTGTTGGCGAGGGATAGCGCGGAGAGGGTGAAGAGTCTTGGGGTGGGAGGGTGATGAGGCGTGGGAAAGGGGCGCTTGAACTTGATGTAGGGGGTCAAGTGGAGGGAACGGAACATGGTGATCTGGAGCGCGTTGGTTCCATCTGTAGGCGCATTGCTTGATTACTCGGGGCCGGAAGGTGGTTGGCTGCTGCAGGAGTCGGACGGATGCACGCGAAATGATCTGGGCCGTTACGAACTTACGATACCGACTGTATGTAGTATTTGGTGACTAAGGGCAGTCTAGCCCGTTCTCTTCATCTTCAGTATTCGTATATTTCGTATTCGGGTTTGCCTACTCCACTGCACGGTTGTCCTAACTTTTTTTCTGACTCGGTTCTGTCAAGTGCCAACAGGTCCCTGAGCTTCCAGCGAGCAAGGACAACGCCTTCCCCCCCTCAGGCCGGTTGATAGGCATGGAACAAAAGGCCAAGCGGAGAGGGTGACGTACGCCACCCAGTGGATGGGGGGACGACGGGCCATGGCCGCACGCCAATCAGTGTCAGATCGCGCGGGAAAATCAACCCCATGAAAGGCAGGCCATCGGCCATCCATTGTTGTTCCCGCGAACTGGCTGCTGAGCGTAACGTTGCAGTCTGCAATCTGCATCCTTAGGCTGGACCCTGAGTGGACCTGGTCTGTCCCGTCGTGGTGGATTGCGTTAAGTATCTAGTCGCTGCAGCCAATTTGAAACAGTGTCCAGATCGAGCATGGACTGGACGTGAAAGTTGACTTGACTGCACTGGACTTTGACGGGGGGTGCCTGATTAGTCCCATTATCCAATCCCATTATCTGAAGCTATTCTTAGCTGAGGTGGCCATCCCGGCCACTTCGTCTCCCATTCCTTTCCCCTGGGTCTGACTTTCAACTTCATTAGAGTTAATTTACCACCTTTCTGTCACCATCCCCTTCTGTCCCTTCACCGACTGATCTGCTCTGGGTCGATCAACCCGCACTTTTATTTTTTTAATTTTTGCCCCTTCTGTGACCTGCCCACCTCCCACTGCAGTACTCAGTACTTCTTCCTCCGAACTATCAACCATCGACTCAGGTCAGATCATGGATGCCTAATTGAGAATCAATTCATCTTTTTCTGCTTCTTCCTCTCCCTTTCTCCAGCGCGCCGTTGATCAAATCACTTCATCTCCGCGGTCAACTGTGATTCTCTCCCAGGGGCAGGAGCCAATTCCCCTCACTACCGCCGTTCTCCAGACTTCCTCCGCCTAGCGCTTTCTTTGGCCGTATCTTTGTTCGCGGCCGCCACCCCTTTCGTTCAACCCTTCTACAAACGCCCTCGTCAACCATGACTCTCTTCCTCTACATTATTAATTCTTTGGTGCGCTGGGTTCGGTTGAAGATATACCAATATGAGGTGACCTTCGCCGTGTACATGCTTACGCCCACCGAGAAATTCATTTTTAGTACGTTCAACTTCTGGATGCCTGCGCCGAAGTTTTTGAGGATACCTTTTTTTCGCATTAAGCTAACCAGTGGTGTTCTAGACTCGCTCCTCCTCACCCTCATCTCTATGATCGTAACCGGCATCTACGTCTACCTCCCCGATCACATCCGAGTCGTCTACGGTCACCTTTACTACTACTGGGCTGGCGAGCGTCCGTTTATCTCTGCGAGTCTTCCATCCATTAGCTCCGTGTTCCGGGAGACTGGTACTCAGACTCTAGGAGTAATGTACGAAACGGCCAAAAATGCCGCTGCGACGGCCACTGCCCCAATTGCTGAGCTATGACACCTCTTGGCCTGCTATAGCCACAATCCGAGTGAGTTTCTTTGGTGTTGGCGACGATTGCGGACTGGGTTTGGTCATCTGGCTTCTTCGTTCCTCGTTGCGATACCATCGGGGGTTTCTTTGCATTGACTTTTCGCTCTTCGTATCAGCATCTGCTGCCTTAATCATCCTCTATGACCGCATGCCTCTTGTCCCGAGCATGAATTGCATTCGCATTTCACGATTCATCGCACTGCTGCACCGAATGGTTTATCGGCGTTGTGAAGTTGTTTCATGGAGTTGAGTGATACTGTTCTGAACGGGTCGGCGCATCCTAGGAGTTCATGATCTTCGTTTTGTCCCCTGGTCCATACTCTGCCTCACTCATTGTTTATACTGTATCGAGGCAGCTCTTGTTATGATCGAATGCCCTGGTATCATTCTGTTCCATGCATCCACTCGAGGTCCATCGGCTGCGCATCTCCTTAATCCTGGGTCATGAATTTGTACCAGGCTTGATGTAACACCAACCATGATGACTGTTACAAGGTTTCACACCATCATGCTCAATTGAGCAGAAACTTTTGCTTTTGCATAACGCCTGAATATAACTACACATAAACACAGAAAAGAATAATATAATATACCCAATCCAATCCACAGACCAACAAACCAATATACAACTCCCGCCATGCTCAGAGAAGAGTGTTATACAAAACAGAAACAGCACCCATCATAGATCCACCGGTAGGACATGTGTAACGTCGCTTCCGTATCCCCATCCCCATCGTATACACCGGTATTCAAGTACGGTACGTATACACAATCGTCCGCCCACATCCGCCATCATCTTTGCCCCCAGAAGAGCTTTCAACCCCTCCGGAAAGGTAGACACCCACGCAGATAATCCCCATCATATATCACCTCACCCTCACATACTACCCACCCAATTACTCCGCACTCGAGGATTCAATCTGCACCTGCGTCTGCGCCTGCGCCTGCTCCAACGCCTCACGCTGCTGTCGCTTCTCCCGACGGACGGCATCCACCATGCGCATGCGCGCCAATTCGCGATCAATCTCTTCCTTCTCCAGGGGAATCTTGTGCGATTGTTCGGTGGTGGGCCAGAAGCCGGGGACGCTGAAGCGGTCGTCGAGGTTCGTGCCGAAGTAGTACATCCAGCCGATGGGGAAGATGATGTACATGCCGAACTGGAGGGGTTAGTATAGCCGCTGAGGGGGGAAAGCGGATTGGGGAATAGAAGGGGGTATAGTGCATACCTTGAAGACTTCGAGGTTGCCCCCTTGGAGTCTGCGGAGGATAGAGGACATGGTTGGTGGTGGAGGTGGGATGGTGGACGGAGATGGAGGGATGGTTGGTTGGTTGGTATGTGGGTTTATTTTGTTCCTTAGTGTTCCTTGATTCGTGGTATCAAGTTCTGATCTCCAATTGAGTGCGCTGATATCTGGAGTGTAGAGGTGCTTAACCCGGCCCCGACGACAAATTATCTCGATCGTCCGATTACCACCCACCACCAAGATCGGACGGATTATTATCACGGAGCTTCCGACACGGCCCATCCCATGCCGAGTTTGCAAAGTGAGCAAACATTCACGTGCCAGCAGTCAGGTGATTCAATTACTCATCACGGGTCGGCTTCCCGGGGACCGAGGCTCACTGCCGCGGTCCGTCGGATTCCCCGCATACAAAGAACCGTTATGGCTGATCCCTGCTGGGGAGGGCCCCTTCTTATGTGGGCATCAGGGGGCGGGTATAAGCTGGGGTCAGCAGGAATTGATTCCCCAAACTTCTCTCAGACACCGTTTCTTTAGCGGTGTTTTGCTGTTAGATCTGCATTCTGATCGATCCACCACACCCCGCATACTTCATCTCTGCGGCATAGCACATCAATTCTCCGAGAAGAATTACTATAGATCGCATCTTCATTACTTCATACCCAAACATACTACACACACACCATGGCCACCAAAGACCCCATTACAGTCACCTACCAGGACCGTCTGGCAATCATCACCCTCAACCGTCCTAAAAAACTCAACGCCCTCGACGCAGACCTCTACTACCTCCTCGGTGAACGTCTCCGCGAAGTCGACAAGCGGCCCGATATCTTCATCACTGTCCTCACAGGTTCTGGACGATTCTTCTCCGCGTAAGCGCCCACCTCCCTCCCCCTTCACCCCCCACCCACATTTCTCTTTCCATTCACAAAAAAGAAAAAGAAAAAGAAAGAAAAACAACTAACCCAACCCAGCGGCGCCGACGTAACCAGCGTCCGCCCCGGCGGCGGGCTAAGCAGCCAAGCGCGCCGCGACGTCGCACGCACCTTCGTAATCAACAACTACGACATCACGCGCACCTTCGCGCACCACTCCAAGATCCTCGTGGTAGCCCTCAACGGCCCCGCCGTCGGCCTCTCCGCGGCCCTAACCGCCATGGCCGATTTCATCTACGCCGCGCCGCACACCTTCCTCCTGACTCCCTTCGCCTCGCTCGGCCTAGTCGCAGAAGGCGGTGCCTCGCGCGCCTTCGTCGAACGTCTGGGCATCGCGAAAGCAAACGAAGCACTCATCATGAGTAAGCGGCTGACGTGCGAGGAGTTAGTGGCGGCGGGGTTCGTGAATAAGGTGATTGAGGCGCCGAGTGGGAGGAGTGAGGATAGTGAGGGGTTTCTGGGGAAGGTGTTGGAGGAGGTGGAGGAGACGTTGGGGGCGCATTTGAATCAGGAGAGTATGTTGAAGATTAAGGAGTTGGTGAGACGGCCGGAACGGGAGGTTTTGGATAAGCAGAATGGGTTGGAGGTTTTTGCCGGGTTGGAGAGGTTTCTTAGTGGGGTGCCGCAGGAGGAGTTTAGGAGGTTGGCTGCCGGGGAAAAGAAGCATAAGCTTTAGGGTTTGTGATCGTGGAGGAAGTGTACATAGAGGGAAAGGAGGGTTGAGGGTTTGTTAGGTTAATGCCATGGTTGAGCGGTTATGGAGATATCAAGGAATTGAAGCACCAACTTTTATTTATCCTCCCCGCTAATCCGTAACGCCGTCTATGCTGAACACTGAATATTCGTAGCAATACAATTGATCATGTGAGCAGTAACTATTATTGACCTTCGGTCTCCGACTCAGATTCTTGCGCCTGCTTGGCCAAAATATCCTGCCACTGTCCCAGGAACTCACTCATGCCACCAGGTCCGGTGAGGGAAGCGTCGACAACTTCCTTCGGTAGCTTATGGGCGGAGTACTGCGGGGTCGTGAACGCATATGCTTCGGGGTCATCACGCTTGATGAGACGGAACTCGGGGAACAAAGGAGCATCGTCCTCGTTGGTAGGTTCAGATTCGGACTCGGACTCGGACTCAGATTCGGATTCCTCGGCTGCTTCTGCATCCGCATGTCCATTGAGTGAAAGTCGCACGAACTGCACCTCTTCCTCCTGGATACCTACGGGATCCTTCATCCGCAAGATCTCCAGCCAACTGAACAGAAGCGAATCGGTCCTCTCAGCCCACGGGTTGATATCAATGAGCCACACCCGTTCATGCGGAGGCGGGATGTAGACATCAAACACGAAGTTTGGATCGGGGAACGTATCCCTCAGTTTATCATCGAAGAAGGACTGGATCCGAGACCGGAGGGAATCCCGCATAGGGAAGAGGAAATCGAAATGGTTCTGATCACGCTGACAAATACACAAAAGGACCTTGTTGCGCACGAAACACCGGAATTCGAGCGACGGGTTGAAGTTGACGTATTTGCGGAGAACGAGGTAGTAGGGGATTTCAGGTGGGGTGGAGGAAGAGGTGTCGGTGGAATCCGGAACACAGTCATCGAAAGGATGTTCCAGGTCGTGGGTGATAAAGTCGCTGCTTTTCAAGAGGAGATAGATGTCGTTGGCTGTGCGACATTGCGTGTCGTTGGTGGCGGACATCCAGGTTGCATCTTTGGGCGCACTCCAGTTTAGCTTGGGCGTCACTTTGCCGCCATATTCGGTGATTGTAGACTTGACCTGGGCGTGGATTTCCGGCCACTCGAGGGACGGGTCGGGTTCTTCGGCGGCACCGTCATCGGAGAATGTGTCGTCGTCGTCGTCGTCGGCGTCCTTCGGCGGGGCAGCTTCTGGCGGCAAGACGATACCGTCGGCTCGGAGGTAGGAAACGAAGGAGTCGCTGAGGCGGATGGCGCGGGATTTAGGGACGAGGGTGCGGTATCTGTGAAGGTGTAACTCTTGATTAGCATTTTGGGGGAAGTATAGAGGGTGATGTTGGAGCATACCGAGGTTGCCATTGATGGTAAGAGCAGTTTAAGATGTGGGAGTAGGTGACTGGAGGAAAAGGCAGCCTTGTAAGCTCCTCGACGGGAGTTTCAGCCGCCGGAGCCGGAGCCTCTGGATCAATAAGAGGCATGGTGGTTATGTGCGCAGATCGATTGTGTTGCGAAGATGCAGAGTCTCGTCGATCGCAAAGTCCGCGGGGTCGTTTTCTTTTTTTGGGATGACTCAAGTTCCTTACCCGAAGAGGCATGGTTGATACAGGCATGACCGTACCGTACTACAGCCACGTGCTGCCTCAGGCATGGGGGTCGTCATCCAGTCATTACGGGTTGCGTAGCATCATTCCAGGTAGTGCACCGGTTGGCATTGTCGCTCCGCATTGCTGGCTTTCTCCGCCAGCACCCTTCCCCCCTTCACCATGGCATCCGACGGTCCTGATCCCCAGACCTTGAAATCATGGGAAGATGCGTTTCACTATCCAATTCCTACCGTGCGCCGCGTGGAGCAGGAGCTGCGCCGGGACATCGCAAGCAATAAGGAGAAGCTCCGGGCTCTTGTTGGGTATGCCACAGCCGCATCTAGATTCACTCCAGCCAAGACTAACTGTGTCCTGCGCGTGCAGCACGAGGTACCGGGAGCTTGTTGGCACTGCCGAGACGATCGTATCGATGAATCGCGAAATGGAAGATGTCGATTCGACGCTGGCCGACATAGGACGACGATGCAACCCGCGCCTGATGGAGAAGATGTACACGCATTACAACCAGATAAAGGAGAATTCTCTTGATGAGGGTATGATGTCTTCGTCAGTTGACTATGGCATACACCAACAGCTGATGGGGAGTTAGATGCCGCGAAACGAGCGCTCGGGGGACAACTCGCTTTACTTCATCGCTGCGCATCGTCAATCTCTAAGCTTCTGAGAAAACGCGGCTCCGTGTTACTGGTGGCGAAGCTCATGGTCGTCTCTCGACTTTTGCATAAGACCCTGTCTCAGCAGACGTCGGTGCCGCCGTTTGTGGAGAACCTGCGCAATCAATTAGCTTCCCTTCGACGGACTCTTTTGAGGAGACTCGAAAAGCGCCTGGCTTCTGCCAAGTCCACGGCTGACGAGATCATTGAGGCTTTGGCGGCATACTGCCTAACAACCAGCTCCTCGTCGGATGACGCCATTCGTTACTTCCATCAGGTCCGCTTAGATGGCATTGGAAGTCAGCTGGAAGCGGTCGACCCCTCAGGCGACAATGTTCTGAACAGCTTACGACTCTATATTCGGACCCTTCAGATTTCCAAGATTCTGCTTTCCCGGCGACTGTCGGACGTTCTTGGCAAGCTGAAAGCACGACCCCTGTTGACAGACCCCGAAATTCGATATCTGGACGACCTGGACTTGGGCGTTCTAGGACGCTGGGTGACGGCAGATGTCAGTAACTTCACACCCTGGATCAAGCTCAGCGAGTTGTCAAAATCGGTAGCCGAGAAGACCATCAAACAATGGTCCAAGCCGGCCTTCGAGAAGTTGGTGTCAGGGTGCCGGGGCGCTTTAACAAACTGGCCAGACTTCGCGAAGCTTCTCTCACTACGCGAGAAGACGCTGGAGCTTTGGCTTTGTTCCCGGAGCTCTACACCTACACATTCATCATTACAGGTGCTAGAAGGCATCAGGTCGGTCTTCAACGAAAGACTTACCGATGTTCTATCAGAACAAGCCAAGGCTTTGGATATATTTGGCCAAGGCGTCGCATCTGCGGCGTCTAACTGGAGCGAAAAAGACCATGCAGCTTCCCAGTCACTCTGGGCGGAAGACCTCATCTCCCTTGACTACTCAAACGGATCCTCTGCATTCAAGCAAGCTGTTACGGATAGGCTTTTGGGGCGTGACGATGACGTATCCGTTGTTCTCGAGAAGTATCAAGCTTGGCTGTCTTCGATAGAAGAATCAAGAGAGTCTATTGATGCATTGAGACAACTACGCTGGTCTGACGCCCTGGACGAAGGCGAGGACGAGGATCTTGATATTGATATACCCTCCATGTTGAACGATGATGACCCCCGACTGCTCCGTGAGGCCTTGCAGAAGGCAATCGAGCAGGCATTTGATGCGCTCCAGAGTTCCCTGATCACAACCTTCAGCACCCTCGGAAAGCCTGGTCAAAGCGCCGAGGCTGCCTTTATGTTGAAGACTATTCGACTGGTTCGAAGAGACCTCCCTATCCAATTCATTGCCAGTGATTACGCACTCTCCCAGAGTGTTGTGCCTGAGTTGCAGAAAATCCTGGTCAGGGAGATAGTCACACGTACAGGCCCCTGGAAGTCCCCAGCTGTTTCAAATGGCAAGTCTGGGAAACTTCCAGGTCGCACGCTTTGGGAGGGTGATCCCGAAATCCCGGTTCAGCCGTCACCATCGACATTTAAATTCCTGCGTAGGCTTGTGCGATCCATGGACCAGTACGGTGCTGGACTTTGGGACGTGTCCACAGTCCAGGTCCTTAAAAGCACCGTGCAAAAGGAGCTCTCAGAGTCTGTTGCGTCCGCAATTGAGACTCTAAAGGCACCTATCCCTGCTCCGGACAAAAACGCATCGGCAGCAGAGTCTGCAAATGGGTCAACCCCCTCCCAGAACGGCGAAGACGGCCATCCCGAGAAATCGGAGCTCGAGAATACGGTCCCGAATGATACTGGAGATGTTAAAGACCGGATCATTCAGCTGTATTTCGATACGATTTACCTGGACGATGCGTTCACAATTCGAGACACTGACCGTAGCCAGTTGGCGGATGTACTGGGTACACTTCGCGGCAGCCTCAACACACCTGCGAAGGCTACAAAGAACCTGGAGCAAGCCGCCCATGAGTACTGGAAACGGACGCAGCTCTTGTTTGGGCTCTTGACTGTGGGCGCCGAGCCATAAACAGCCAGGCATTGGCGTAAATGTATATAGATTGATCAATCCATACCTCCTTCGAGCGGCCAATCAGCGCCCGTCCGTTTGTCCTTCCCGACCCAGACTAGCGTCCGCGGGGGAGGCTCACCGCCCACGTCACGTTTCCGGCGGTGACGATGACTTCGCCGCGGGAAAACACGATGCGTTCATCGCCCATCTCTCCTGACTTGTTTCAACTCGCTCTCTTGCTCGCCCTCCTCTCCCTCATTCCACCCCCATCTTTTTCACCATGGCGGCCCCACGGCTTCCATTCCTTTATCCGAACCTGATGCGCGCAGTCAGATCTTGCGAACCCCATACGTACCGCTCCCTTCGCATCTCATCCCGCGGTCAGCACTCTCCCTTCCACACCAGTCGACGACACGCCCAAGAGACCTATCACCGACGATACGGGCCCGCGGCAGAAGCAAACTTACCTCCGCCCTCCAAACCCAAAGACGACGCATCCCGCCAGCAGGCCGCAAGCCCTTCATCTGGGAAAGACAGGGACAGCGACGCATCTCCGTCTCCGAGCCAAGCCCCACCCGAGCAGTCACAGCAAACGGACACCGAAAACGCCTCGGAAGCCTCACCACAGTCGCAGAACGACAAGTCCGCAGCCCCAGCTACTGAGCAACAAGTCGAGCATGAACCCGCAGAAGAGCAAGAATCCCGCGAGGAGTCCGAGCCCGCATCCAACAAGCAGGATGTAGAAGAAGCAACTGCTGCCCCGAGCGAAAGGCCCCCCGAAGAACCAATCCATCTCTTCCATCCGCTCAACCAAAATCCTCTCGATGGTGTCCTACATATGCCGTCTCCTTCCTCCTACCTAGCCACAACCGATGGTCCGACCTCGGAGAACAAGCCTCCAAACCTCGCCCCTGCCCCCTACGTCCATCACTTCGACTCGTACTCGCTAGTCCGTGATCTTTCTACCGGCGGTTTCTCGGAAGAACAATCTGTCACGATCATGAAGGCAGTGCGGACCATCCTGCACGGTAACCTGGATCTCGCAAGACAAAGCCTGACCTCCAAGTCGGACGTTGAGAATGAGTCCTACCTGTTCAAAGCCGCGTGCTCGGAACTCCAGTCATCCCTGCAGACGGCCAGAGCCTCGGAAATGCAGCGCCAGCGTGCCTCCCGGACACAACTGCAACATGAATCGGATATCCTGTCTCAACGCTTGAACCAGGAACTCGCAGGACTAAAAGATGATATCAAGGGGATGTTCAACGATCACAAGATGTCGACCCGTGAACAACAACGAAGCATCGATACCTCTGTACAAGAGCTCAATTACAAAATCACTGTCTCCCTGAACAGTGATGGCAAGAGCGAAATCGAGGGACTGAGATGGATCCTAACAAGGAGGGCTGCTATGGCTATTGCCACGAGTGCCTGTGAGTCATCCCCTATTTCTCCAATTTCCTCAAACCAATCTGAACTTACTCCCTGACAAAGCAGTCATGATCATCATCTTCCTCAAATACTATTCCGTCCGCAAGGCCCAGGAGAGTGCTGAAAAGAAGAAAAAGAAACAAGACGCTTCCAGCAAGGATCCCAAGGAGGCCCGGGCAGTTGCCCAGGATCCCATTCTTCGGCCCAAGTCCACACCAGTTCCCGAAGTCCATCTCGGAGAGTCGCTTGGTTAAGCTTTCGCCATCTTTACTCCTCTCCTCTCCCTCCCTCCATCCCTCTCCGTCTAACTGTACAACCACCATCCATTCGGATAATTACCCTATACGTTCTACCATGTCACATTATCCCGGTTGGCTTATCATCTGGATCCACTACGGACTACCGTCCCCCTATAGATCTCCTTATCGCTCTTTTTCTTGTCCCTTTTCTTTTTGACAACGCATTGATTTATCTCCCTCCCTCTTGGTGAGACATCTCGATACCCTAAACATCCTTTTTCTTTTCTCTATTCTTGGAAAAGGCGCAAAACAAATAGACGGGTCCATCGCATCGTTCATTATTCAAACCACTGTCCCTATCACTAAACCTACACCTTTATTTCTCTATAATCTTGAAAAACTCTATATATATGCAATGGGCATGTACCTCATAAACGCTCACCGGCATGAGCTGTGCATGAATCCCTTCCACCCATCCATCCATCCCAGTCATCAGACATGATAGGAAGTGTCACCCCGCAGAGCTAGAGTCACACCTCATAAATTAAATTAATACGGGGAATGCAACAATAAACACAGAATAAAAAGATAAAAAAAAAAAAAAGGAAGCTGAAACGGAAAGAAAAGAGGAAAAAGCAACACGCAAACGATGACTAAAAGTCAAACCTCAACGCAATACTAGGCATAGCCTGTTGCTCACTACCGGACGGCGTACTATCCCGCGCATGCCGATTAGCCCCGGAATCCACCTCCGCACTGCGGAGAATTTCCTCCAGCTGGGTCTTCTGTTCCGGGCTCATGGTAGCCACAAGGGCACGGAATACAGCCTGATTGGCTTTCGCGAGCTCCAGCAGATAGACGGCCGTTTCTTGGTACACGGATTGTCCGTCGCGTTTCGCGCGGGAAAGCAAGGTGGACATGATGAGGGAAATAGCTGTGGGGGTTTCGTTCGCGGGGAAAATTGCGTTGGTGATGCATGCGACGAGGGTACGCGCGATGACGGTCTTGGAGTTTTCTGGGTCGTTCGGGACTTCGCCTTTTCCTGAAGGGCAGCCGACGTAGAAGGCAATGAGGCGTGGGACTAGATAGCGGGCGATTAATTCGCTGGTGGGGGATTTCGGATTGGATGTCAGGAGGATGGACCGGATGCAGCCTGCGGCGACGTTGGCGAGACCGACGTCTTGGAGGCAGTCCAGAAGTTCGTCGAGGACTCGGGAAATTACAGCGTCCTGGGGTGGGATGATGTGGCCGCCGCTCGTCAATAGGATGGTAATGGCTAGGAGGGTGTTCTTGGCGCATGGCAGAGACGAGTCGGACTCCCGTCGCTGGGCAATGGTCAGGGTGGTGAGGAAGCGGGTAAGACAGCCGCGCAACTGGCGTGACACCACACCAAGGTTCTCTGGCTGTTCTGGCCCAACCTCGGGAGAATTGGCGATGCCGCTGATGAAGTGTTTGAAGATCGGAAGAGCCTGAGGTACGACTTCCGCTTGGCACAACCCAGTGGCGAGGATGGTGCTGAAGATGTGTAGGATGCATGCGTTCAGGTCGTTGCGGATAATCGAGGGGAAAATCGAGGCAACATTAACCAGCGATGAAAGCGCAAGCCGGATGAGAGACAAGGCATCGTCTGATCCAACATTGAATCGTGCAAGAGGTGTGGTCTCACGGAGATTAGGCAGGAGTCCTGCGAGGACAAGGATGATGCTCCTCGTGAGCTCGAAAAGCTGCTCAATGTCGTCGGAGAGATGGTCGTCCCGGCCCTCGCTGCCCTTGGCAGAAGGATGATCCAGAGACAGGTTCCGTGCTATCTCCACGATGACGTTCTGGATGGGGGTCGTTTCGGTCAGCGCGAGGCGGTCTAGAGAGTCCATTGTCTCGGAGAAGATAGCATCCTGATAGATCGCATTGCCCGAGATCACTGGTCTCAGGATCCTCTTCAAAGCTTGGAGGATCTCCAATCTCTGTGATGGGGTTGTAGACTGATCAACCAGAGCCTCAAACGCCAGGCCGAAGAGGACGAAGAAGAACGCAACTGGTTCATCCCGATAGTTGATGTTGTCGCCCTTGCCCTTCGGCTCATCGTTGGGTGTCTGCTGGTCATCTTTGTCCGTCTTATCTGATTCCTCTAACTCCGACTTGCCGTCCAGTGCATCGAACACAAAGTCGATGTCCCTTTCAACCAAACCAGCAATGGCATCGACAAGATTCAACCAGGAATCTTGATAGAACTGCAAGGCGGTCAGCATGGTGATTAGTACTTTCTATGCCAGTCTAGACGTACCTTCAAGAGTGTTTCCCGGTTCAACGCTGCGTATACTTCGTTTAGATCGCCGCCCAAAGGAGCTGTACCCAAGCTGCCTGAAATATCTGGCTCGAAGCGCAACCGAGCATATTCCTGGAGAGAAGAGAGCCATAGAGGAGTGAGCTTCGTGAGATACGGCTGAACCACTTGGTTCAAGTAGTCCTGCTCAATACTGGCAATCTGCAGCCGTGCCCAGGCTGAGTATAAGGCCATCTTGACCATGACCCTAGCATTCGGGTTCAGTCCTTTGAGATCCCCGATCTCTGTAGTATCGGGGTTGTCTTGGAGGTATTAGCGAAATTCTCCTCTAGCATGGCATAACACTCACTGGAGAAGTTCTCAAGGCCAAGCACCAGGAGTTTGAGGATCCTCCCCATTCGATCAACGTTCGTCACTATTCCTGTAGCAATGAAGGTGGCAGAGACATTAATTGCTTCCGAGGCCAACTCCGCAGATGAATCGGCGGCGAATGCGGGCGTAAGAGCCGATCCAATTTGAGCCTGATACTGTTCCAGAAGGGATGCCTCGGTGAAGTCCGGGTCAGGTGTTTTGCCAAACATCTGATTGTGCAGTTAGCAGATGGACCAAATATGATAGAAAGGCACAAGCATACTTTGAGAACTTGATCGATGATCCGAAGCCCCCAAACTCGAAGTTCTATGACATTGGCAGTAGATGCCGAGAATGCCATGCGGACGATATCCCCGACCTTCTGTTGAAGTGCAAGCTCGGCAGGAATCGTCTGATCCGGCAGAATTGCCTCTTGCACGATCGCCAAAAGCTCACTGAGGCAACTCATCACGAAGTTCCGCGTCTGCCATTTCAGAAGCTCTTGACCAGCGACAGCACCATTGGCCTCGTCTAGCTGTCCAGCCCCTGCAATTGCGGAAGCAAACCCTGCAACCTCATCATCTGGCATATCATTTGCATTGGGTTTGATAGCAGATGTGAGAGGGATCTCCTCAACCTTGGCACGGGTCTTAGTCAATGTGTTGTGGCAGCGCTGTATCCACAGCTCAGTTTCCACGAGCGCCGTCTGCTGCAGCCAGTCTTGAATCATGCTTCTGAGAATTGGGCAGTCTGGTGTATCATCGAATGCAAGCCAGATTTCCTCCTCCAGAGTCGGCGTGGCAGTCTGTAGTACAGCTGCGGCGTCACGCTTCATGAGGTTACTCAAGCCCCGGATAGCCACATCTCTCATTAAGGGGTTGTCAGCGGTAAGCTCGTTCTGCAGACGTCTTACGTATCCGGAGAAGTCAACATATCCCGGTGCATATAGTGAGAGGTGATCCAAACACTTAGAGCTCTCAGTGACTAGAGCCGAGTTGTCCTCTAGCTGAAATTGACGGAGCAGGGTGAGAATGAGGTTCCGTGTCTTGGTGATATCCTGAAGATCGGGTCCGAGAACGTTGATGAGAGAGTCAACACAGCGACTGATTACCACGGGGGTGAGGAAGGACATTTCAATGTTGGACGTCGCTAGAGCTGCCGCCTCTTCATTGTGGGTGTCAGCGTTGTATAACTGGGCCAACATCCCAAGGGAACTCGAGACAAATGGCGAAAAGGTCAGGCCCGCAGAGTTAGCAACTCTTTCCAAACCACCAAGAGCCCAGAAATGGACCACAGGGTGAGGGTCATTACACAGCGACATCAAAACGCCAACGATGGTCTTGAGATGCAGGCCAGCAGCCATACCACCAACTTGAGAATGAATGCAACCCAAGGCAGCAGCACAGCCAGCACGAGCATTGGGCTCGCGATTCTCAACAATAGTATCGACAAGCCAGTTGATTTGCGTATTAGTAAATGAAGTCCCAGAGCTCTCACAGAGCCGTCCGAGTGCCTCAACACCAATTGTCCGGACCGTCAAATCGGCATCAGTGACAAATTTCTAGACCAGTCAGCTTCCTGTCATCATAGGTTCCATCAGAACTTCGCCAATATCAATCCTTACCTGAACAAGCTCCTGCAGCACCTTGTCAGTCGCAGGGTTGAGTTTACCGGCTGTAGATCCGTTCTCTTTGACGGAGACCTTCAGAGCGTGGAGTAGTGCCACAGCAATGTTGACGATCATCGCAGCCTTGCGCCCAGGATTGCGTTGAAGACCGGTGGACGACAGGAAAGTCGCAATTTGCTCTACGCTACTTTCCTGGACCTTCGGAGCATGCAGGGGAATTGCTACGGAGAAGAGCTCGATTGCAGCATTCACAACGCCAGTGGAATGGGGATCCGCCAAGGAAGAATCCTCTTCCCTCGTCGAGTACAAAAGCAACGAATCATGCTCACTTGCCTGGCATATAGGGAAAGTTAACTGTAGATGTGAGTCCTAGTACCCAAAACCTTGAAGGAAACGTTGACTCACAGCATCATCCACAGCTTGATCCGCTGAATCAACAGCCGACCAAGAGGGCCCGTTATCAGTCCCATGTTTGCCAGTAAGGGTTACACGCACGTATTCCCTCGCCAATCCCGTCATGCCGAATCCATAGTTATCACACAGATCCCACAAGGTCTCAAACTGCGCGGTAGAGGCGGCAATTGAGCTTTCCAGCGGACCAGCTTGCGCGGCATCTGGGTCTGCGAACGAGGAGATTGCCAAGCTCAGAAGACTAGATTGGGAAATGACATCGGCATGGCTAAGAGGATGGACCCGGAGGAGCTTCGAAAAGCACTGCAGTACACGTCGCCGGACCATGGTCTCAATATCATGCAGATGCAATGATGGATGGAGGCGCTGCGAAAGATCATTCACAGGCTTTTGTCGTGGCAGATCGTCGAGAAATTCCACCGTGTTTTGCAGCATCGCTGCAATTCTCTTCGCCCCGTCCGCAGTTATTAGCCTGCCATTGAACTCCAAGAAGACCAGCAAAGAACTCAGGGCACATTCCCTCACGTGCGCAAGGAAGCTCAATTCCAGTATACCACGCTTGGCGGAATTTTCTTGGCTCAGGTGCTTGGGTAGCGCATTTTTCCACAGCAACGATAACTGGGACAAATGAATCTTCACGAAACTGGGGCCGAGGGGCATCAATCCTCCGATCAGGATCCAAGCCACTTGTATCTGTGTACTTGCAGCGCGTAGTTCCGAGTTGCTACTGGTCTTCAAGAGATCGGTTGCCTGGGTGAAGACACGAGAGAAAACCTCTACTGAACCGTAAAGTGGCTGCAATCGGGATGTACTTAGCATAGCAGAGAGTCCATTCGCATAACCAACGCAGCGACGTGGTGATTGCCGGGGAGTCGATAACTGTCCTACTTCTCGACTCAGGCTGTTCAAGCAGATAGTGACGCAAGACAACAACTGATGCGGGCAGGCAAGAACAAAATTGCGGAGACACTGCGCTGCATGGATCTGGACAGTGTAGCTGGGATGTGGCAGGACTTGGAGCAAAGCTTCGCGACACATTTCAGCCAGGGTTCCAAAGGCGGAGCCCAGTGACTGTATCAGAGAAGACAAGGCACTTAGAGCACTAGTGAGCGAATGTTTGCTCGGTTCACGACGCTCCTGTATCACTTGAGGGTAGTCCTTCAGAACATCGTTGATCAGCCATTTGGCAGCATTGAGTTGACTAGTCTCCCGGAGTGATTCACGGCCAACGGTGTCCTCCAGAATGCTCTTCACAAACTTTCTGGTCATAAGAAGCCTGAATCGGTTGTACGTGACTGTGGGGTGGTTGAGGATGTCGAAAAGAAGGTGATTCGCAATTTGGCCGTAGCGTTCCTCGATGACCTTGTCCCCCAGAATCCGTAGAACGTGCTTGTAACAGATAGCTATGCCTGCCCGGGCCCGATTGGATGTCGTATTCCGTAAATACTGCGCGGACAGTTGCCGAAGGAGGTCGGGCAGAAGAAAGAACAAGCGTGCTTCGGATTTCTTGGGAGCAGAGGACTCTGAAACTTCCGCCTCATCTTCGTCCTCTCCGGGCTTCGATGTTGGCTTTTTCGATAGTCTCTTTGCCTTTTTCGACTTTGGAACTGCAATAATCGGGGTATCTGTAGCATGCAATTTGGCCAGCGCACGAGCCAGGCACGCCGCGGCAGCGTGTCTGACGGGGGCTACCGGACTGTCAATGACTTTCCATACCAAGGTCTTCAGGTGATCGAAGTCGTTTGCGTTGTCGAAGTAGGGTGTTGTGTTCACCAATTGTTCAAGACAGCGACAGGCATGCACTTGAACAAAGGTCGATTTGTCTCCGGTTGCGGCATTGCGAGCTTGCTTCCAGATGTCTCGCGCAGTCCCTTCATCCACTGGCAGTCCAGTACCGACCACCACCTTTCGCAACACGGCAAAAGTTGACCCGCGACATCCTGTATGATTACTAGAAGCCTTGAGCAGCTTGAGCAAACTTGAAACGACAACACCCGATTGCGCAAAGACACTTTCTCCGGCGACACCGAAGACCTCACCCATACAATGGGCCGCGGCGAACTTGGCCTTTAATTCCGCCTCACTCTTGCCCGCATTTAGGAGTCCCAGCAAATCCGTAACCGTTTCAAAGAGGATACCACGGTCCCCCTTGTCGAAAATCGCCCCAAAGCATCGGCCAAGATTATTGCGGATAACGCGCGTGAGGGTCGGCGAGGAAAGCGTAAGGATCTTGAACAGTTCCTTTTTCAGGAACTTCTGCTGCGCGGATACTTGAGCTTTATCGAGACCGGAGATGTGCTGGACTAGATCGGAGGTGAAGGTGAGGAGGTACAGGTCCTGTTGTTCGGAGGGGAGCGCATGGAGTTTGGTGATATCAAGCTCCGCTCGGGGGGCCGCATTGTGGTCGGAGGAAGTAGACGGAGCGTTTTCTGAAGAAGACATTGAGTTCTATTAATGAGGCTCAGATGCCACTCATAAGGTCCGCTATAATGAGTGGCGAGCTAAAGTGCGGTAGAAAAGAATATAGGTATAGGATGCGACCGCAATCCGGGGAGAGGGGGGGTTGCAGGTCGGTAGTCGTCAGTCGGCCAGACTTCCCTGGAATGATGATGGATGGGGGCCCCTTAAGCGGGCACTTGGCCTCAACTCCGTCCGGGGGCGGTCGCGGAGAAACTGTTGGGCCGGCCCCGCTATCAGATCGCGATTCTGGAGGCATTTCCAGATGGCAGGATTGAGGTTGCAGAGCAATTTCGCAATGACGACGATCGTGTGCAAACGATTGGTGCAGCAGCGGGTTGCCCGCGCAAATTGGATGGTGACCGATGGCTGCCGTAGCTTTACCACCAGCGCCCCGTGGCTTGCAGGACACAATCGGTGGTCTCAGATTAAGCATGACAAGGCTAAGAATGACAAGGCCAAAAGCAAGGAGCGACAGCTTATCGGCAAAGAAATCAGCAGTGCGACTCAAAGTACGTGCTAGAATTTCCACCCTCCCCCTTCATTCTCATGTTGACCTGGAGCAGTGTGGGGTCCCGATCCTAAATTCAACGCGCGCCTTACCCTCGCCCTTTCGAACGCAAAGCGAGCAGGAATTCCGAAGATCGTGATCGAGGCGGCAATTGCTCGGGGACAGGGAATAAGTGTCACTGGCGAAGCTCTGGAGCAGGTTACCGTCGAAGCCATTCTCCCCCATTCGGTTGCGGCCGTTATCGAATGCCTGACCGATCAAAAAGCCCGCGTACTGCAAGATGTCCGACATGCGATCAAAGATGCCGGCGGTACGGTCACCCCTACTACATATCTCTTTGAGAAGAAGGGCAGGATCATCTTCGAGAAGAAGGATGGGGTGGATCCGGATGACTACATGGACCAGGCCATCGAGGCAGGTGCCACAGACATCATGGCAGACGAGCAAGGCCGCCTCCTTGTTTATACGGAACCCGCAGAAACAAAGAGTGTAGGTGAGGCTCTTGGAAAGATGATCGGCCTTGCAGTTGAAGAGTTGGACATTATCTGGGATCCAAACCAAGACACGTTGGTGGATCTCAAGGACGAGGAGCAGGTCAGTGAGATTGAGGACATCCTCAGTACACTTCGAGAAGAGTCGAGTCTCCGCGACATCTACTTGAACACAGCACAGCGCTTTTAACAACATGGCGTTTGTTGGAACCTTCTTGCTTACGTTCACGATCATAGCCTGGGGCACCTTACCCTTGCAACTTACACTGTACTATAGACTCGGAGCATCCTAGATCGGCCCGGAGGCTCAAGAAGCTTCCTTTGTATTATAATATAGATCATCAAAATTGCAGGATCCGTAGAAGTAAGGCAGCCTATATCCAAAAGATATTCGTGAATGGAGGGTATGAACAGGGGTAATTATGGTCTTGACAAGTCGTTTCGAACCTTACTCTTTTCGCAAAGCTTTCATCGTACTCCGCATCAGATTGCCAATTCCAACGGCTCCTGTCGCATCAAGCCAATCAAGCATACGTACCCTATACTCCTGCCAGGTCATCTTCATTCCGCCTTCTTTCTCAAGAGCGCTCAATGCCTTCTGTGTCACGGGTTTCTTCAGCTTGGGCCGGTCTTCACCGATGTTGTTCTCGTCTTCGATATCAGAGAAACAAGCCGCAGACATGTTGCATAAGGCTACATGGTGACTCAAGGAGAAGATCGAGGAAATCGTGTAGGAGAAAGCGGTCTCGCGTTTCCTTTCTTTCTCATTTGATTCACGAATGTATCGCGTGAGTGCGCCGATGGTGGCGGGTGGTATCAAGCAGCCCAATGCGTTAGGATCTTCAGAATTCAGTCCTCGGTTCCGCCACAGTAAGTTGCAAACGTCCATGATGTAGCCATTGAACTGGCCTACGAGTTCCGTCGGGTAGAGGGAATCTTGAGAGCTCGGGACCTGGAGAACCTGGGACGTGAGGGACGATTCGAAGGACGATTTATAGCTGGCAAGAACTGAACTCATAATGGAGATGACCGAGTTGATTGGTGTAAAGGCGAGCGTATAGACGGTAGGGGCTAGAGGGACCGTGAGTCGAATGCTACCGTTCATAGATGCGTGCGAGAACAATTCGGCCAGGGTGCAGTAGAAGTCTGTGATAGACAACGTGGCAGGCTTGTATCTCTCACTGGGATCACGTAACGGCTGCTGCATTATAGTGATTGATTCCAAGGTTGACAAGGCCAAGAGTTCTGCATGAGCTATCAGGCGACCCAATGGCTTCGATTCCTCCAAGGCCAGGGGATGTGTCCTTAATTGAATTCCCCACTGGCGGATCAAGCAAGCATAGAAATCAAGCAAACAAGTTCTTGATGATAGCTCGGCATTCAGAATTGCACTCTCCAAGGGTATCAAGAAATCTTGGCGCAAGGTGTCGAAGTCCTGCACGGGGAGATACTCGAGAAGCCCCAGTATTTGCTCTTTGCTATCCTCACCATTCCACGAAATGAGATATTTTCTGAGAAATGATGTAAACGCGTCTGGTATTTCCTGAACGCAAATTAGCAATCCAAACATATAATAGTGAGACACGCCAAATACCTTTGTATATTGCACATATTCCACCGCCAAAGCCAAGATGTAACTCAGGGATTCAACATCCTCCACGTCATCTGTCCGCGCATATTCCAACTGGTCGCTCAGAAACGTCCTCAGCCAGTCATTCAGCCGGTGATTTGCAGCCTCGGAGCGAACCAAGAACAGGTACTTTTGCGCCAAGCTGTTCCCCAGCATGGATATAATCTGGTTGGGCAATTCTATCTTGTCAATCTTCTCAACAAGATGCTCAACACCACGCAATTCTTCCAAAGAGGTGTGGTTATAGGACACCCTTGAGGTCTTCACATCAGAAACAATGACCTCCATCTTACTTCTCTTTGCAAGTCCGCGGTGCACTACCTGGAAGGTTGAGGGTCCAGCTGCCTGTAGCTTTTCAAGGTGCGTATCTTGAATGTTTCTGACGTGAGCAGTCCACTCGGGATCTGGATGTTTGAAGAACGCCGCCTTTCTCCCCGAAAAGCCCAAATCTCCGACAATAACATCAGGGCAGTAGTTCTTGAAAACATTGAGCAGGATAAGCAGCTCCTTCTCTTCACCACCTGAAACACTGACCAGTTCCATGAGAGCCTGGATCCGAAAGGGCTTCACATGCTTGCGCCTCGTGATAAAAGAAAGCAGATGGCACAGAGGCTTCCGTAGACTTATCATGTCCAAGTAGTTAAAAAGCACAGCGTAGAGCTTCGACAAATGAGATCTGTCGTCGATGAAGTCATACACCAGAATCAGCCATCGCACCAGCAAAGCCTGCGTCGCAGGGCTTGGTTTAGTTTTGGCGGGGCCAAGACAGCACACGACCTGGGTGATCAATTTGGAAGATATTCTCTCCACTGGATACAGATTTTTGACGAGCGTAGTGACTGTGCCTTGATCAAGAGCGTTGTGAGTCGTAAGAAGCTTGAGCAGTCGCTCGAGCGCAGCCGGGGGAATTCCGCTCTCGTACGCGCGGGTAGCTATTGTTTTGGCCAACTGGCCAGCGTCCGTGTAGCGTTGCTTGGGAGGCACAAAAGCAACTGAGGGAGCATTAACAATGCCTTTGTTTGCAGCAAGTCATTTAGGTGGATGTTCCTACCTGCTTCGAGATGCTTGATTGCATCCTGGAGGCCGTTTGGCCTGACTTCAGTTTCTAGGGTCTCCATCAGCGAACCCAGTCACAGTCGAGGAAATGAGCATAACAAACCTGTTTCGGAGCCGGATGACATGATTATATAATATGGCAAGGATCAATGCATTTAACATTGATGTCTATCTTTCCTGCGCGCATGAAGTTGTTCCTAGATGTTTCCCACTATCAGGCTCATCGCGCGTGACACCGAGGTTGTCGCGTCGCGTGAATAGCGCGTTAGATTGTATGTCCCAAGGCCCCCGAACAGTATGCTCTAGGAAGAAGCCAGCATAAACCTGTGTGATTATGCAATTCGCTGGCCGTGGTGGTAAATGCTTTCGACCCGTATGTCCGTCGCGCGGGACTGTTGCGATGGTCGCGGGAATTGGAACTGCAACTTAACCACTTTGGGTAACCCCAGAAATGTGAATCCAACCCTGGACACTGCGGGGACTGGACAACAATCTTCCTAGAAAACAAAATGAGCTAGCTAGTTATTTATTGCTATGCTCTACAAAAGCAGTGCTTGGATCATTTTCATACAGGCTACACCGGCATCTGGTTCCATGATACTGACAGATCATCTACTCTACTCGATAACAAATAACGTCGACTTCAGATAATCTCGAGTTGTTTAATACTCCTCATTGCGCAATTGGTTTATCAATAACATTGTGAGAAGAAAGAAAGGCTAGAGCCCACGAATGTCTCCAACATCTAAGTATGAACAGGCCTGTCGGCTAGCCCCAGGATGGAGCTTGGTTGATTTACTTCCTCTTCCTCGTCGTCTGCTTGGAACCCCCCTTTCCAGAGGAAGTAGCCGACTCCTTGGCCTTGGGTTCAGCCGGGGTCGGCTCCTCTTCCTCCTCATCGCTGTCGCCTCCCTGGCCGAACTCGTTGACACGCTTGTAATCAACCTTGTACTTCCAGCCCTGGTAAAGCCAGATGAAGAAGATCACGTCATCACGGAAGGTTGCCAATCTGTGGAGCCAAGGCATCTTGACGGTGAAAGCGAAAAGGTCGTCGATGAAGGTGTTGAGGAACTTGTACGTCAATGCCTTTCCGGGCATGTGAGCGACGGACTAAGATGTAGAGTCAGCAGCATTCTTCACGCTGGGTCTGTGAACGGAAACAAACCTTCAGTCGGTAGTTGATGTACAGACTAGGGACCATCATCAAGAAACCGTAGGCGTAGACGCTGCCGACCAAGGTCTCGATGACATAGGAGTACCATGACTTGTGCGTGTTGTAGATCAGGCTGTAGGTAGCGTACGCAGCCAAGAGCGGCACGGCAATAATATACAGCCAACGGAAGGCGATTTCATCATACTCCTTGGTCTTCTGCTCCGTCTCGCTGAGCTTGTGCTTGTCCTCAAAGACAATCACATAGGGCAGGAAGGAGAAAAAAGACCCGGCTGGTGGTGGACGCAGGCGCACGTCTACAGTCTTCGTGATCTTCCATGCTTCCAGCAGGATACCGAAGCCCTGACTGGCAAGAATCATCCAGGAAGTGTTCTCGCTATTGTCCATCAAGTAAAGAAAGATGACCGCCTGCATAAAAACGTTCGCCAGGATGGTACGAACAGAAGTACCAACGACGTCCTTCTTCTTGCGCCAGTGAGACTGTTGGATGATTATCAAGATTAGCAGCTGACCCAATATAATCTGAAAGTGCACAAATGGAATGAGCTTACAATATCGTTCTTGAAAGCCAGAGTCTCGAATACCATGTGCAGAACAGTAACGACACCAGTTGTTGCCAGCAAGTAGATGTTGGTGTCAAGGAGCACTTCCTTGATCATTTCGAACTCACTACCGTCGCCACCACCGGGGGTCTGACCACCGAAAGCAGCTTGCTTGGCAGTTTGCTTTGCGTTCTCATCCACACTCGCCATCATGCTGAATTTCCAATTCTGCAAGTTGTTGAGAGTGATACGCAGAGGAACAGTATCAACGGTCGAGTTGAGCTCCATCATGTGAGTCTTCAGCTGCCAGAAGGTGTTGAGGAACACAATCGGATAGTACCAGCCATTCTGCCCTGAAGCATCCCTCGCGCCAGTGGCTTCGAGCTGCATATGCTGCCGAACAGCGGGGTGAACCTGACGGAACTTCTGAGAACCGGAATCAGGGATCACAGACACGGTGAAGTTGGGGTGGTAATAAGAGGCGATCGAAACATCCGGTGTGCCATCATCCTCTTCTTCCTCAGCTTCCTCGGCCGAGGCAAGAAGGTTCTTCAACTTCTTCGTCTTCTTTTTAGGAAGATACTGGTTCAAAGGGCGGAAGAAATGAACGGCGCTATCCGTACTGTAATCCTTGGCAGTGGGGTCCAGCTGATGTCCAGTGAGTCCGACAAAGAAGTGAGCCCAGAGAGTACCATTGCGTTGAACTTCCTTGGGGATCTTGATGGTAGTATCGATTTCTCTTGTATCGCTGTAGTTGCCGATAGTGAAATTCTTCTCCTCCAGAACCAGATTGTCCGACGGGATTGATTTAAAACCAGGGACCACAACCGAAGGCGAAACATAGATACTCAGGTCAAGGGCACTGTCAGAGGGCCAAATCGGGGAAACGAGATCGGGGATACGACTGTAGTCGGACACTTCGCTGCGATCCGGACGCGCGGCGAAGGAAGGCACATCATTACTAGTAGACTTCGTTCCTGAGCCCGAACTTTGCTTTCCTCCGAAAAACTGGCTCATGACAAACTGTGCCAGCAAGAAGAAGGCCAGACCCTGGAGGGCACCCTTGAAGCCGGACTAAACAAAGACACAGACAAATGTCAGCTCACCCATCGAATCCAAACGATTGCAGACCGGATCATACGCACGCTTTGCTCCGGCTCCTCCCTGCGCTGTCGTTGTTCCGGCATTGCGACCCGTTGATAGCTAACGTGGTCAGCAGGAGAGAGGGAGAAGGGAGGGAAAGGGGGGAAGAAAAGGCCACGGAGGAGGAAGAAGACCGGCTGGAGGCAAGATGCTAGTAACTGGTTGGGCCAGAAGCCGGCGGTTGATCTTGGCGGGTCCGGGCTTATCGCCGGGCGGAAGCATGTCATAAATCAGTACCTATACGCCATACCGAGTACTACTCTCCACTCCCTCCTCCGCGTGTCTCGACTCTCTCTCCCCCCACACGGCGCATCTGCTGCACTACGCGTGATTTACAGAACCCTAGGTCGCGCAGTGAGCATGCTGGCCTCGTGGATGTTGGTGTTAGTCTAATGGCGGACAATCAGCCCTCTCCCGATTACTCCCGCCCGCAGTTTCCTGCCCATAATGAGCCACGGGTATGGGTGATCACGGCGGGGGATTCGCCCATCGGCATCTCCGTGACCCGCAAGATCCTGATGCACGGCGACTATGCCTTGGTTGGACTGGCCCATTCAAGCCTGGATCGGGATCAATGCCGTCGAGATATGTTCGATGCTTTCTTGGCCGAGATTGAAAGCAATGAGGGGTGGGGAGAGCGATTCAAGGCACTGCCTCTGGACATAAGGTGTGACTGGATTATGCGGCTTTTATGATAATGGCATAGGCTTATATTCGTCTTACAGAATGGTCGGGGAGTGCCAGGCGCTAGTGGCGCAAGCAGTCGCGGCGTTTGGCAGAGTAGACATCCTTCTTTGCTGTAGCAGCCAAGGTTAGCCCTCGATAATCAAATCCTTGCATCCCACACGTTGCTAAGTGATCCTGTAGCGCTTATTGGAACTGTGGAGGAGCTCTCTGCCTCGCAGCAAACCCTGAACCTGGTCCGGGACCAGTTTGAGAGCAATTACTTTGGGCCTCTCAATATCATCAAGGCAGCGTTGCCTCACATGCGCCGGCAAAAGTCCGGACACATCATGATTCTCTCCGGCATCAGTAAGGACAACCATACTTCCTTCAGACACTCTGCAACATCTAACAGCAATCAGCCGCTCACATCGGCACGCCCGGACTGGGAATGTACTGCGCAGCAGGATGGGCTCTCGAAGGCTTCTGCGATGTAAGTACCACCCAGCGCACGAACCACACCCAAACCCACTCACTAACCATACAAACCACCAGAGCTTGGCATACGAAATCGCCCCCTTCAACGTCAAACTCACCATCTTCCAATGCAGCATCGAGATCGGAATTCTCACAAACCTAGTAACCAGCGTCCCACCCATCAGCAAGATCTACTCATCCGCAGTCAACCACGCACCACTCTTCCGCGGGATCCTAAACCGACTCGTGTCTCGTCTATCGAACGATTCTTCGAATGGCGCCAACCAAACCAGTTCTGTCGAAGATGGCCCATTCTCCGCCTCCGAGGTCATATCAACGTATCCGCCGCTCAGTTCTGCGCATATGGAGGTGCTGGTTAGCGAGACTGTGTATGCTATTACGGCGATTGCGGGCCATGAGAATCCGCCATCGCGCCATATTGTGGGTCAGGAGGGCGTTGCGAGTGTCAAGGAGAAGCTGAAGACGGTTAGCGAGGAGCTGGAGGATTTTATTCAGGCCAGCTTTGCGGTTGATTATACTGCTGATGAGTACGGTCGGTCGTCTAGGGAGGAAGGGATGATCTTGGGTATGGGGGCCGGTCATGATAGATTTTGAAGTGCACATATAGTATTGAATGTGACGCTTTCTTCGGAGAGAATTATAATGTTATTGTGAAAAAAGCTGGACATATTGGAGAGTCTACTTGTGTCTATCACATGAAAGGGTTGCTATGAACGACGAAAAAGTGGAAGTCCAGGAAGTCACACCTAAAGAAAAGCTCAGGTGATCCAATGCTCGTCAATCCAGGCCGGAGACAGCAAAGCAAGAAATGTACAGCCGTACACAAAAGGACTGGCCATACTATTTAGCACGTTGGAACCAAGCCTGTCTGACCTCCCATAGGCTGCCCATGTCCTGGTTATTCCTGTAAGCACGAAACTCTTTCCAAGCATTGCCATTCGGGCATTTGGTAACGCGGCCGTCAACTTCTATGATCTTTGCGGAAAGTGCAGTGAGCCCCCGAATGTCCTCAACCAATATCTCATCGATCTTATCATTGGGTGCATTCGCGGGCATCGACTCTTGCGTGGGTTCCTGAGCAGGTTCAGGAGCTGATTGAGACGGACTGTCTGACCCCTCACCACTCTGGGGTTTGTCGCTCGTTTCTGCGGGGCCATCTGCACCCTCTGTGGGGAAAATTGCCTCCGCAGTTGTTGAAAGCCTGACAATTTCCACTACAACATCAGTTGAGTTCTCGGTGGGTTCAGTAGAGGATTCCAGTTGATCGGTTAACTCTGGAGGCCGTGAACGCTGTCTTTTGCAGTTGCCGTGCTCAATCTCGGATTTGCGTTTGTTAGAGGAGCCAGCCTCTGTTGTTTCGCTAGTATGAGAATGTTCTGTGGATTCGGTTGCAGCAGTGCCACTCTCTTGTTGTCCATCAACAACTTCTCCATCTGCATTCAATCCATTGATGGACTTTTGACTTTGCTCTTGGCCTGTGTCAGTCGGCCCTGAGAGACCTGTGAGAAATACCCGTCTTCCAGGCGGCATGACGAAGCTCAGGCTAGCGCCGTCAATCTTCACAATCTACCTGGATATCAGCAGCTGCAACACCTAGATAATCAGTGATTTACACATACCCTGACTTCTTTCTCAACCAGAATCTTTTCAGGTCCTTTGGAGAAAACTCGCGAGTATCTCCAGACATCACCCTCCTGGATAACACCATTATCGGTCAACGTCTTCAGTTTCACCTGAGAGCTCTGCCCTGCCACAAGTGTTCTGTCCAGTTTCTGCTTCTGTCCCCAGAATTGTTCGAACTCCTCCTCTTTAAACTTGTCAAATTTGCCTGCAGCTCTCTCCTGCATGGCCTGGTTGGCCTGGCGCTGCCATTCCGGGTCATAGTGACCATTCTCTAGATCCAGTTGAAAGAGACGGATGCCGTCGCGCCATTCATTCGAGTAGCGTAGGAAAGACTGCGGGGGAGGGGGGATCTTCGCTTCGGGATCATCAGGTAGGGAGCTAGGATCCGGATGTGCTTTGTCGGGGAGAAGCTTAAGGATCTCTTGTTTTTCATTCTCTTCGAGACAATCCCAAGCTTGAGGGTTGGCAAGCAGTTTCTAGTTCCCCGAGTATTAGCATTTCATTCCGACCATTCCCCCGGCGAAAACTCGCACCATCCAGCGATAAAACGTACCACCAAATCCAAGTTAACCAGCTGCGACTTCGCACTTGTCATTAACTGCTCCTCCTCCCATGGATCTTTCACGGCTCTTCTAGAATTCCGTTTCGGTTTAGCTTTGGTAGGAGACATCGCGCAGCTAGATTTGCCGGCATTACTGTGCTCAGCCGTTTTCACAGAGCGAGAGGAGCGGCTTCTGAACCATTATCAGAATCAGCTCTCCATTAAAAGAGTGAACAGGCTTCCCGATAGTCGTCAAATGCGTCTGGTAAGGGAGAGGAGACGTGAGCAGGACTCTACCTCGTCATTGGCAGCTCCCCTGAACTGCCGGGGTCGACCGCCTTGCGAGTGCGGGCCATTGTTCCGCGGCCTGGACGGGAGATCTGGACAATACCCCGAGTTCACCTCCACCACTCCAACAGAAGGCTAAGTTGGCGATCGTTGGGAAATATATCGTGTCACGATGGTCAAATCAACTCAGATTGCCAGAATTGATGGTATGATGCTGTCCGGGGCTGTTCATGGGTTATTAGTGCGGTTGTTGATGTTTCGAGACAGGCTTGATGCTGGCGGCATCAGTAGATGATGAACATGTGAGTTCGCGGCGCATTCACTACGTCTCTATTCCTTAATGACTGACACTGGTTCTTTGTTCTATTCTCCAGGCTGAAGTGGAGCTCTCTGAGATCAAGTCTCAGGCTAAGATGATATTCCGTCGGTTGAATCGCAATTCAGCACCGCAGGCCAGTATCGAATCCGGTCAATTCAATCTACAGTACGTTTAATACCTTCAACCCTGTCCGTCGCATGGGTGTATTTTGCTGATCGCCCGGTTCAGCTATCTCATCAAGGACGATATCTGCTTCCTTTGTATATGCGATCATTCCTACCCCCGCAAGCTTGCCTTCACCTATCTGGCCGACCTCGCAACCGAATTCACCACTACATACTCCCCGTCGCAATACCAGTCCCCAACTCTGCGCCCATATGCCTTTGTGGAATTTGACACCTTCATCCAGCGCACCAAGAAGCTCTACCAGGATAGCCGCGCATCGCAGAATCTCGACCGTTTGAACGATGAGCTCCGAGATGTGACGAAGGTGATGACCAAGAACATTGAGGACCTTCTATACCGAGGTGATAGCTTGGAGCGGATGGGTGAGTTGTCTGGCCGTCTACGAGAAGACAGCAAGAAATACAGAAAAGCCGCGGTGCGGATCAACTGGGAGTTGTTGGTCAAGCAGGTGAGTCCATCGGATCTGTATTGAACAGCAGAATGTCGCTGATCTGTCACAGTATGGACCGCTCGCAGGTGTTGGGTTCATCTTTCTATTCCTCATTTGGTGGCGTTTCTTTTAATTGCGGACAAAGCGGCCCGGAAACTCGATACCCGCCAATATGAATGTATGCATAGATAATGTTTCTGGTGGTTGCGCACCATCCCCTGATCCCAGGACTTCAATTGACTCTGAACAACCATATGACCGAGCAGCTGGACTGTATAGCTTAATGGTTTGTAAGAGCATGGAAAGCGGATTCGGATCCCTCCTTCACACAGGAGCCGCGTCGCAAATGCAACACTCGGATGTTTATCGTCCGTCGATTCGGTAGCATGTGACGTATATAGAAGAGCGGTTCCGCTGATGACTTCGAAGCCTGTGGATAAACCTAGATTTCATCTTCTTCTTCATCAAAGTCATCTTCCTCTCCCATGTCGTATAAGATACGCCCTCCTTCGCCAGGGCCGTCGCCCTGCTGTGCATCGAAATATGGCAGCACCACACCCTCCCGCTCGCGCCTCTGCCTTTCAGTAAGGCGAAGTTCAAAGGTCGATTCGGGCTCCTCTTCTCCAGCGCCTGTGTCGGGCTCCTGTGGTGGGCGGTACAAGGGGTGATCATCCAGCAAAGTCACGATCTCTTTCACATATTGAGGAGGGTAGCGGGAGGCCGAGGGAAGGAAGTACCATTCCAGAACCCCACGGCCACTCTTCCTTCGGTGTTCCAGCTCTAGCACGATCCCATCGGCCGATTCATTGCCAGTCGACTTATCCAATCTGCCGAGCAACACACCATCCTGCTCTTCTTCAAGCCCAAATACAGGCGCGGCCAAACTCCGATCACGCGCGGCTTTGTGGGCCAGTATGTGTGAGAATGAATGAAGTCGGATAATCGTGGTCGCGAGGTACGTCAACATCGAAAGGGGCGAAGGTGCATAGGGCGACTGAGCAGGTGGGTTTGGAACATCCTGGTGGAAGTTTACCACGAGCGACACCTCGACCTTAGGAGCAGTGGGACTCGACGGGATGAGGAAGGAGCTTAGGAAGGTCGATATATGGAACTGCGGGTCGTTCTTTTTGGAGTGTAGAAGCGGGTTGATAGCATCAATGAGAATGAGTCGCCCTTTTATGCATTAGCCACTAGGTCGTTAGGCTCGGTAGGCTCGGGATATGCATACTGCGAGAAGGGCCACTGGAAGAGACGTCCTGGTAGGCGGCACCAACTGCCTTTAGTATCTCCAAAGGAGTCTTCCGGCGGGCGGAGACAAAAGCATCAACGCCCTCCAATGGCTTCAATGTTTCAAATGCGATAAATGTAATATGGGTTTTGGAAAGCTATCGCAATAATTAGCAAGTTCGGTCAGGCATTGTATCAATACCACTCAACCCTCACGATAAAATCACATGCTTACCTTTGCGCGTCGGATATATTCTTTGATCAAGGGAGTTGCCGGCTGCTCTAGAGAGTCCAAGACCAATGTCAGCGGTGACGCGGTGTCTCTCAAGCTAAGAAGCTTGGAGATCAAGAGCAAATTATGTGTCTGTCTGTGGGATGTGTTTGTGGGCGCCATGGTTTAGCAAGCAAGGGTGACGTGCGGCGGGATATCGGGAATGGGAAAAGTGAAGAAAATCGCATTTGGTTCGGCAAGGAAGATTGCGGGGTCCTGGGCGAGCTATGGAGGGGTTCGGTCTGATCGGGGCGCCGGAGATTTCCAATGAGCGATGTCGCCTGGTTTACAGTCGGTCTCGAAATTCCACTGACCTTGAAACACACAACAATTGTTTTCGTGCCCCACTGCTAAGACCTTAGCGCGAGCCGATTATTCGAGCAATATTCGATATATTACAAGTTGTATTTAACGAAACATTGTAACAAACTTGATATTATCACGTGATAACGTATGCAATTGTGGGTTGGACCACAAATCCAATGCATGGATGATGAAATCATGAAACAATAAACAGTCACATGACTGAGGGTACCAGGAAGGTTGGTGCGAGCCAACTCTTCTTTTTCTAAATTCGTCACGTATTGGAAGTACATATCGGTGCTTTGCCACCGTCTACTTGAAGGAGAGCTGAAACATTGAGAAACTTCTATATAATTACAGATACTATATAATGCCCCCTTCTCCCTTACCCTTCTTTTAACAAGAGATTTGAAAAATTAGAGAGTTAGGAATGCAGTCCACCACAGGATACCTTATATGACAGAGAATGCAATTATGGCAACTCTGCCGCTCGTACTACCAACTGCAATAGTGCTGTTTTTGACCGTTGATGAGGAAGGATAATAATTTGGAGGTAGTTATAGTTCTCTTTGACCCTGAATAGTAACCCATCGATCTGCTCCCAGAGATACCTCTGCTACCTTCTCGGAGGAAGTTGAGAAGCTTTCATAGTAGTTTTAGATATTGAAAGATCCTACATTAGTAATTAATAATGGCAGCTGCTCTGAAAATTGAATGTCGGTGGTAATATCATCAGTGCTTATATCATGCTTGAGAGCGCCCGTGGCCGCATCCCACAGCTTGATGGTGTTGTCGGCCGAGCCGGATGCCAGTAGCTGCCCGTTGTTTGAGAAGGCGACTGAGAAAACCGCGTTAGAATGGCCCTCCAATGTATGCTTAAGAGTACCAGTGACCGTGTCCCACAGCTTAATAGTCTTGTCGGCCGAGCCGGATGCCAGCAGCTGTTTGTTATTTGAGAAGGCGACCGAGATAACCCAGTTAGAATGGCACTCTAATGTATACTTGGGAGCGCCCGTGGCCGCATCCCACAGCTTGATGGTGTTGTCGGCCGAGCCGGATGCCAGTAGCTGCCCGTTGTTTGAGAAAGCGACTGAGAAAACCGCGTTGGAATGGCCCTCTAATGTATGTTTAAGAGTGCCCGTGGCCGCGTCCCATAGCTTAATAGTCTTGTCGGCTGAGCCGGATGCCAGTAGCTGCCCATTGTTTGAGAAGGCGACTGAGTTAACCGCGTTGGAATGGCACTCCAATGTATACTTGAGAGCGCCTGTGGCCGCGTCCCATAGCTTGATAGTGTTTTCGGCTGAGCCGGATGCCAGCAGCTGCCCGTTGTTTGAGAAGGCGACCGAG